TAGTTAGGAGCTGTTTATTAGGGAACCCTCTCGTATTATGAAGTTGGCTTAAGAACACTCTCACAGTGTCTTTATATCCGTTTTCATGCTTATCATGTTGATTTTGTTGTTGTACTGGATACTCCATCTTTATCCTCCTGCTTAACCATAAGCAATAAACTTCCAGGAATCACATACAAGGTTATCCATCTATTCGCATCTTCAGGAAAGGAAGCGATATTAGGTAAATATTTTATTTTCATTTATACAGCAAGCATCTTTTTAAAATTTTTGCTTAGTTTTGTACTATGTTGATTAGTAGATGCATTTTTATATCATTAGTATATACTCTAGCTTATTATTTGATCCTTCAAAATTGATCATTTGTAAAGCAACTAGATGTAGCACCAATCTCTGCCCCTGCCACATTTTAGAATTCAGAAAAAAGCTTTCAAAAATTTTCTGCCTTTCTGCTGCTCTTTTATGTGTAGTCTTTCACTGCCAAAGGGAAAATTGAAGAGGAAATGAAAAAAATATTCTACTTTATGTAAGAGTTATTTTACTTACTCCTAGTGCAATGACATATTTTCTTGCTTAGTTGCATGCATTTGAGTGTTTCTAAAGGTGATTTCAAATTGGAGATTGCATGTGCATAGCATCTTTAGAACTTTTGAGGAATAGATGCATTGTGTTAGAACAGTTTGGTCTTTGGCTTGCATCATATTCATCTGGGTTTACAGTTGGACTTTTCTCTATGCCCCTAATGCAGAGATGATCATGGGCACCATGATCACGAGTCATACTATGGTGACCGGGATACAGACAGCCTGGTGAAGGTATGGATAATTTTTTAATCTAAATTGTCAAAGATCAATTGTGGCTTGTAGAAACCAAACCAATCAAAATAATGTCCTGTATATGTTCTACATCATGCTCTGCCCACATGAATACATAGCATACTGCACATTTATGAAGTATTCCTATATGTGATGGAGGATCTAGATGTCCTTTACCATTCTCAAGTCCATTGCTTAGGACTGACATGTCATACCTTCTTACCTGCAGACAATGGAAGAACTGGTTGCACCTATTGCATTGGAGTCTCAAAAGGTTAATTCAGATAGTATGTCTGTCGACGCGGCAGATGGGATAAAAAGACCTGCACCAGTAACTGGAGGATGCAGAGTTGAAGGCTTTGTGCGTGTTAAGAAGGTAGTAAAATTTATTAGGACAAACAGTCCTTTGAAATCAGCTGTTACCTTCTCTATCCATCTGAATGTTTGGAGAAACTTGAAGTATGATAAATATGAGAACATGAGTTTTCTTGTGCAGTTTGGAGAAGAGAGAGAGTGTGATAAGCCATATACTAAACTGGTTTAGGCTAGTGTAATTATAGACACCTAAAAGTAGGTAGTTCAAATGACCCCAATGTATTTATCATGTTTTAAGCACATTGTTTAATTCCTACCATGCAGGTTCCTGGAAACCTTGTTGTATCAGCTCGTTCAGCAGCTCATTCATTTGATGCTTCTCAGATGAACATGTCACACGTAATTTACCGTTTTTCCTTTGGCAAGATGTTAACTCCAAAGGCGGCCAGCGATGTGAAGAGGTTAATACCATACCTTGGTCAAAGCTTTGACAAGTTGAGAGGCAATGCATACATTACTAATCCAAAGGAGTCCAGTGAAAATGTTACCGTAAGCTTTGTACTTCTATTTCACCTCTAACTGACTGATTTAGGGGTTCAAATTTTACTTTAGATTTCATATATATTTTTTCCTGCATTATTCCATTATTTGTCTTCTTTTTTTTTTTTTTTTTTTTTTTTTTTTTTTTTTTTTTTTTTTTCTTTTCTAACCCCCTCCCCTGCATTTCTACAGCATAAATACCCTGCCATGTTTTTCTATTGCTTCTTCCTTGCTGTGATGGCAAGCTTCTAGTTCTTTGAATGGTCTTTATTTATTATGCCAATGTCAATTCATGGTAATAACAATTTAAATTTTTAGATAAGGTAGAGTAGGATAGAGTTGAAACTATAGACTGATCTGAGTTTTCTCTTCCATGCAAATTCTCTTTTTAAAGTATGACAAGGACCCGGGGTTTCAAAAAATTAAAGCAACTAAAAGTCCTTTGTATGATGAAACTTACAGCAATATGCACTATTTTTTCTAGTTATTCTTGGACTTTTAGATTTACATCTTGTGCACCCAATTATTTGCAGATTGAGCATTACCTTCAAGTAGTGAAAACAGAGGTGGTTGCAAGATCATATAAAATAGCTGAGGACTATGAGTACACAGCTCATAGTAGTTTGGTTCACAGTACTTCCATACCTGTTGCAAAGTTTCATTTTGAGCCGTCACCTTTACAGGTTTTGAAAATATCCAATCTTTCAAAGGTCTTAGTGCTGCATCAAAGTTCTCGTCCTTTTTTGTATTAATTAATGCCCCTGTTCTGTGATCAGGTCCTCATAACAGAAGACTCAAAATCTTTTTCACACTTTCTTACGAATGTATGTGCCATTATCGGAGGTGTTTTTACGGTTAGTTTTTCCTGCTTCCCATTCTCATTATTATCCTCTATGGACACTTTCAGATTCATTTGGCCCCTGTTCTCTGCCAAATAATGCTGTTATCTATTTTCACCTTTTGCAGGTAGCTGGCATATTGGATTCCATTTTCCACAATACTATGAGGCTCGTGAAAAAAGTTGAACTAGGAAAGAATTTTTGATAGAGATAAAACTCTTAGTATAGTGAGTAGATTATAGTTCCTGAACATTAGTTTACTAAGGCGCGCTTTTAATTTTAATGTAAACTAATGTATGTTGTTCTTGGTTCAAACAGAGCACATGAAACTTGACTGTTGTTTATCGGATTGCCATTATAGGTCGATCTGAATTCTGACATTTATAGAAAGAAAATTATTTATTAGTGTTTGTGTTTGCAAAATACAACTTTTACACAGCAGCGGATTATTCACACGCTATCAAACAATGATACTCAATATTTTCCTTGAATTAACACTCAGTTCGACAACTGAGATGATCAAGGCTAGAAAAAAAAATGAAAAATCAGATGTTGAAGTCAAAATGCTAGGATGATGGAGGAACCGATAAGAGCTCCAATGGAGCTAAGGGTACCTGTGAAAGTTGAAGATGCAGCGTTACCCTTCTTTGGGGGATTAGACTCTTGAGAAGGTGCCGGTGTTGAGTTATCAGGTGGTGGCGGCGCTTCTTCCCCGGCCGGGGCCGGGGCTGAGGACGGGGATGGAAATGGCACCTCTGATGAGGTAGTTGGTGCGGGTGGCGCCGCCTCAGCTGGTGTAGGTGCCGCCTCTTCCGGTGGCGGAGATGGAGGAAGCAGTTGTTGCTCCGATGGTGAGGGCGAAGGTGCAGAAGAGCGGCCGCTTCTATCAGCCATGACGACGACCACCACTTTCTCGTTCTTCTTGCAGTTGTCTTGCACTCCGCTGATGAAATAAAACGCCCCAGAATGATTGAAGCTGAACACAGTGTGGCCATCACTGTATTTCTCCAAAGGAGCTTGCGTGTTGCAATTTGTGAAGTCATCCTTGGTTACAAGAAGCACCGAGTCTTTGTCAGCTGGGTACATAAACACTGCAGGCCATCCCCAACAACGTAACAAAAAACAAATCATCATTATCTATCTTAAACAATAATATCCACACTCATACAATGTATAAGGTGAGACTCCAACTTTTATTATTCATATAAAGAAACTTACTAAGGGTGTCTCCAATTTGAAACCGAGTCTTCTCAGCCCACTGATTGTAAGTGTTAGTATTGGGATCAGAAGGAACAGCCCAATCTCCAGCACCTCCAACTTTGAAGGTATAAGAGGCACATCCTTTCTGTATCAGCAGCAATACAGAAAGGGACCCCAGAATTCCATACAATAATGATATTGAACTTGTAGTTTGAGCCATTATTTCTGAATTGCTTTTACAGATCAGAGTTTGTTAGATGATGGATGATCTGAAGTTTATATATATATTAGTAGGAGATAGAGGTCTACAATTAAGTGTGACAGTGAAGTTTTTGCATTGCTTCCTTTTTACTTAGGATTTCTTTCTTCACTTCTGTTCCAAAGCATATGTGCTGCTTTTTTAATCCAATAAGTCTTGTGATCCACTTTGTTCTTGATGTCCTCTCCATTTTACTGCCCTCCTTTTTAGCTAACTTATACTTTTCTTGCCCATTTTCATGCCTTGTGCTTGCTGCACAGGAATAATCTATCTAACAAGCCCGGCCCCATATATGAAGGTAGCTAGAGGCTATTACATACTAAACTATATGTCACAACTTAGCTGCTAAAATAAGGTTATTTTACTAATTCAAATTTTACGAAAACAAAGGTATGTATTCAAATAGGTTGAGAAAGTATGTTTGAACAGATACTACAATGTAATAAAGTCAGTATTCAGTAGCATTCAGAAAAAAGAAAAAAAAAGAAAAAAAAAGGTATGTATTCGTGGCAAGAGGGGTTTTCAAGTTTTGGATGTTAACTGGTATGTGACAAGTAATATTACAACACTTAATTAGTTTCATTTTTTATTTAATATTGACTTAAAAAAAAAACTCTTATTGATTTAGGAAAAAATGAGTACCTGTTTTCTTTTTTTAATTCCCACGGAACTAGGATACATTGCGAGATATTGGATGGTTTTTTAATTCAAATCAAATTAATTAGGAAGTTAAATATATTGGACATACAGGTAAAATCCATGTATGTTGAAATATAGAGTTAATTATTTGAACTTGTTGCTCTGATATGATCTTTTCCAAGAACGTAAACAAATTAAATGTTGATATATATAAACATTAATAAAATCTAACCATCCAACTTGAATGTGAATGTGAATGTTCATTCGCATACAAGTCACTATATACATTTAGGCTAATTAAATATTTAACTCCTGTAATCAAATTAAAGTATTATAATTAATTAAAACAAATTAAACCAATCTTTTTTTTTTGTTTGTGTCTATTACAACCTCTTCATCATCTGCTTCTTTGTCTTCATTTTCAAACAAGACTGCCCTTCTGAATATCTTGCATGCTTCCCTTCAATTTGTATTGCCACTCTTTTCTTCACACTCCCAAGCCATGCTTGTCCCTTTAAAAAAAAAAAAAAAAAAAAAAACTTTAAATTTACACTATAATAATATATATAATAAGTGTTTTGCTTTAATTTACACTAAAATATGCAAGATACCTTAGCTTAGGTTGTTGGTGAATGGTGTGAGATTATTAGAAGAAAGCTAGAATTGATAGGATCGGAAACAATGGCGATAGATTGATCAGTTGAACCGGTCCGACAAGATCAGAGCAAGAAAGTGAGGAAAGCAATGAAAAGCGGTGGCAAGAAGCCGGTTTGGGGTTTATGGGCTGCTGAATTACCCTTCTTGGGAATGCGTGTAGGGAGAGCACACTCTTCGCCATTAAAGATGACCTTGGAAGGGAACCCGTCTCCCGCTCGTATTTTAAGGTGGGGAAGACCCTTCTTCAAGAAGGAGATAACGGACTGTTGTTTTCCGGGAATTCTGGGATCGGCCCCCGGGTGGGTTCCGTTCACCTCTCCGACTAAATAGTTCAGCCCCGGCAAGCCTTGCATGAAGATGGTGTGGCCCAGGCGAGGGAGCATTGTGCCGTTGAATGAGTAGACGTTTTCGAAGCCCCTGCCGGATCTTTTCAGCCGGATCGCCGTGAACCAGTCCACGAACGGATCTTCCCCCCAGTTGAAGAGCGTCATCCGGGCCGTCCAGCCGGAGCGATAGTCGGAATCCACGTGCCAGTTTATGCTCACGCCGCAGTTGTCCGGGCAGGGGAGTCTCCGGGGCACCTATATATACAAAATATATTTTAATCTCTCTATACATAATTAGAAATATATATATCTAGAGAGAGAGAGATAGAAGCTACCTTGTGGTGTTTCATGGAGGCCCACGCCAAGGCTTTCTCCGTCCGGTTATCGAACGGCACGAGCAGGGCTTCGGCCGGGAGCGGCAGGGCGTCGGCGTTCTGGTTGCAGCGCCGCCCCGCCGTCTGTTCCTCGCCGTCCTCGCAGCCGCAGGCGCACGTGTTGCACGGAACCACCGAGTCGGCGTAGTACGCCGAGAACGACACGCAGCATTTGGCCTCCTTGCGCTTGGGCTTATTGATGTTACACGCTATCTGCCACGACGCGACGGCGGTGGTGGTCATGGCGGTGCCCATGGGGTCGGGGAACTCGCTGGGGTCAATCCGCATGGGCGGCCCGCATTTGTACGTGGGGTTCAACCTCCCCGTGATCTTCCACTTCTGCGGCGGAGTGATGGCGGTCCGGTTGAGATCCGGCGGCAACTTGAACACCTCCATCTGGAAAATCGACTTCGACTTGGTCTTATTCATGGTCTTGGGCAACAACGTTCCGTTCCGGCAACAAAACGGGAGTTTCCCGATCTTTTTGTCGTCGACGAACTGGGGAGGGAGATCGGAGATGACAGGGCGGGGCTGACAGTTCAAAACGTTGGTGAAATCGAAATCTTGGTAGTACTTTCCCTGAGGGCCGTAGATGCATTGGGAGGGGTCTTTGACGTGGGGGAAAGCGCCTTTCATGGTGTAAATGAACTCGTTTCTCATCCATTGCCAGGTGAGATTCCATTGATCCAGACGGCCGAGAGGGCTGTCGTTGTCGATGGTGACTTGGACTTGGTATTTGTTCTCGTAGGCGGAAAGAACGTCGTAGGTGAAGCTCAGGTCGGCGGCCTGTTTGGGCAAGAACTTGGTCTTCTTCTCCTTCTTGGGCTTGAACTTTGGGTCCTTCTTGCAACACACGCTCATGAAGGTTGCTGCATATATATTCATTAATTAATAATAGTGTTACAAAAATCCGGCTTAAATGCTGATTAATTGACGCTTAAGTGTTGGGGACTGATCGACTGCCTAACATATCACTCACCATGAACAGTGATCTAGGCTGCTTGATCGGCTGATCTAGGCTACCTATCACCATAATAGGCGGTCTAGGTTGTTGACCGGCTGATCTAGGTTACCTATCACCATAATAGGCGGTCTAGGTTGTTGACCGGCTGATCTAGGCTGTCAACCACCATAATAGGTGGTCTAGGCCGTTGAACGACTGCAACCACCATAATAGGTGATTTAGGTCGTTGACCGACTAATCTAAGCTGCCAGCCAGCCAACCACCATAATAGGTGATTTAGGCCGTTGACCGGCTAATCTAAGCTGCCAGCCACTATAATAGGTGATCTAGGCGGTTGACCGGCTGATCTAGGCTGTCGGCCACCATAATAGGTGATCTAGGCGGTTGACCGGCTGATCTAGGCTGTCGGCCACCATAATAGGTGATCTAGGCGGTTGACCGACTGATCTAGGCTGCCGACCAGCTGACCGTCTAACGTATTACCATAATAAATATCTAGGCTGTTGACAGAACGGCCGTCTAGTGTATCACCATAATTGATAATTTAGACTGTGGATTAGGTCTGTGCTTAGGCGTACCTATTAGGCCGCTAGTCAAACTATTGAAGTACATATTAAATACTTTATAACTATTAGTCTTAAAAAAAGATTAGATGATATTTTAAAAAATAAAAAATACACCGATGCCTAAGTGCGGATCATCATTTAGGCACCTAGGCATTTCCGGGCACCAGAAAAGAGCGGAGCGATTTTTACAAGAAAAAAGAAAGAAAGACAAAAAGGTATGTTATACGTACGCTTTTTTTTGGAGGCAGGGCATTTAAATCCATCGTTTCGGAGCTTGATTGATCTAGGCATGGGGGTGGACTTCTCCTTCAACCCAAATTGCGTTCCCTTAATCTCAATCTGCGCCTGCATCTGGGTGAAATCTCCGGCGGTGTCGATGGCCGTCTTCAAATCCGTCATGGGATCTCCGGCGAACACCGTCCCGTTCTTCCCCACCTTGATCGGGAAGTCGTCGCCGTCGACCACGACCGCCCCTTCCGCCGACACCAACAGCTCGCGGTATTGGAACCCTACGAACGCCTTCCAGTTTTTGAGCTCCACTTTGCCGGCGTTCAGGATGGACAGCGTGGCCTTGAAGGACCAGGCCTGCGCCGACGTGTTCTTCACCAGGGGATAGATCTTCTCCCGCCCCTGGAAGCTGTAGGTGAGGAATATGCCGTCGCATTTCTGCTGCTCCGGCGGCGGGGCGGCCGGCTTGTCACCGTCCTCGTCGTAGTCATAATCGTCGTCGACTTTGGCGGCTTTGGCGGCTTTGGCGGCCTGGGAGGTGTAACAGAGGGCGGCGATGCAGTAAGCAAAGGCCAATATCCTCCATGATATTCTCATACTATACCTGGAGGTAGGTATTAGGGTTTTTTTTTGGATAGGAAATTAATTTAAGGTTTATTTGTTTTTGTGGCTAATTAGGTTTTCGGCCGGGTACGGTGGATTTACACGGCCGCAGGGGAAATGAAAAGCGGAAAAACACGACGGCGGCCACTACCAGAACGAAGCAGGTGAGAGGCCGCAGCGTACGTGAGAGGGAGGGTGAGCGATTGATGGATGTATCGGAGATGAAAAGAAAAATAATGAAGAAGAAATGATGGAGAAGAGGAAGGAGGATTTCCGACACCGCTAAAAATGGCGTGGCTGATAATAATGCACAAAGACCTTTTCTTCGCCATTCTCATCCGATCCTCTGCTTGCTTTTCGCTATTCCATTCTTTTAATTTGGAACTCACTCTATTATATACACCATGCATGCATATATATGTTGAAATAATATTATATTATATTGCTTCCTTTTTTTTTTTTTTTTTTGGTGTGTTGTTGTTGATTTTCTTTTTAATGAATTTCTTTATCATAATTAGGACTTACTTACAACGTAACGGCCTATTGAAGTAATTAATATCACCAACCTTAAAGTTCGGCAACAACGTAACATTTTAACTCAAATCATAGAGTCAAGAGAATTTCGGGATAACTCAGGTTCGATTCTCATAAGTGACAATTTTTTTTTGGGCCAACTCTTGTGTCTGGAGCGAACGGGGTTGACCTGAACCGTTAAACAGACAGAGAAAGATCCGAACCACGTTGTGGTTCACACCAAAAAGAATAGGGTCAAGAGAAAAGACTTAGGGGGTGTTTGATAAATAACTGTTAATTGATTGGGCTAGTGAGTTTGACTAGTTGATAACATTAGCTTATTGTAGAAAGATGTTTGGTAAATTGATTGTTAGCTGGTTACATGCAATATGATTTTTTCAAAAAGCTGATCGAAAGATATTAGATCCTTTAATTTGCAACAATTAGGGTCAAAATTCTACCGATCGAACTGAGTATATATATTTTTTTTCATTGCCTTATTTTTACACCATATGAATTAAGCATTAAACCTGGCAGAAATGAAATAGGGATCGAGTTAAAGACACCACACCTACAAGTTTAATTAAGTAATTTTCGTTCTATATATAACAGCCATTAGTAGATCAACTATACACATATCCGATCCATCGACTGATTAACTTTCCTGTGAATGATATACAGTCAAAATTGGATCCTTTCAACTCAGCTACTGATCCATAGAGTGATAGATAGATTTGGTTTCAACTTTCATCACCTGGGAAACAAAAGAAAAGACTCAAAAGAGAGAAGAAACTATAGAGAACTCTTTAATCTCCTGATTGATCAAACTGCACTGATTCTGATGTTTGTAAGATTAGTTACGCAGAATATCAGGCAACAGCTATCTCCTCTACGCTGCCAATGTCCTCAACAAACTGCGCTTTTGGCTCCAAGTCTATGAACTGGTTAGATTTACTAGCGAGATGTGAGATGCTAACCCTGCCCTCGCGCTTTATATAGTCTGCCACGGCTTTCATTTCTTCCAGTGAGATGTATATGTACTTCCCTCTGTCGTCCATCACACCCGAAAGTCTCCCTGGAGTCAACACCAACTCCATATGTATGTTATTCAGAGGATGGATAAAATAGACAATTCGATGGAATAAGATAGTAGTGTAGAAGAGGGAAAAAGGGCATACCCATCTCTTCCAGTGAGTTAATCCGATTGATGCACTCCTGAAAAAAACATATATATATATATATATTTTGGTCAGAGAATTTGTGAAAAGACAGCACCACAACAATTCGTGAATACATAGAATTGGGTGATATAACTTGACTGGGATCACATAAAAGAAGAAAAGTAAGCAAATCCATATATAGAACACTTTCCGACTACTTTACCAAAAAAGGGTTTACCTGGGTCCTCAGCTTGAATTCTGCAGCAAGATCCTCCAGTGGAACACATTTGTGCTTCTGCAACATCAGACAAATGTATAAAGACCAGTATGCCTTTTGCCATACTACTAATCTCTCTATTACTAACTAAATGTGCAGTTTCACTTGGTATGATTATTGATTGAATTAAGATTAATCTCAACTCATTTGGGCTGATCACATGATTCACTCTCTCCATTCAATTCAATTAAGGCTAAATCCATCTTGGGTTATTGAGCTACCACATCTACCATTGGACGGTAAACTTCACTTCAAGTAACTTTCAGTCAGCATTGTTCTCTCTCCCATTACTACCATGCTATTACTCATTCTAGCCAGTGCATACATAGGTCTTAATTGCTATGGTCTTAAATCAGACAATAAGCAGAGGAGATATGATGACCACAATTTATTTTTATATTTTCATACTAAGAAGTGCAAAGGTGGCCATATACTAGATTCCATGTTTAGGTTTGATGGAAAAAAATTTCCATTATACTATTCAATAGTCAAGGAAGAAGAAGTCCAGGCAATAAAGTAGGGAGGACTACGGGAAGTTGCAATTGCCAAGAAATCACTTTATATAAAGACTCGGGGATTAAACAAACGATCTCAGGCTCACTTCAGTCCCGAATAATCTTTCTTCTACACACTTTTCCCCCCTTTCACTCATATATAGTGGATTTCGGCTTGGCTTAGCCTAAAAAGGCCCGTGGTTTTACCGTTGTGGTTTCCACGTTAAATCCCTGTGTCCTGATTATTTATTAATTCCCTACAAACACTTTATTTTATTCATATTTACTTATGGAGAAATCAATTTTCTCCATCAAGGTTCATGCAAGAGAGGCCATACGAATGAACCTCCATCCTTAAAGCAAGTCCATTATGGAAAAGAATTACCTTGATGTATTCCACAAAATCATAAAGCAAGCCCTGGCCTTCTTCTTGTACATCACTTTCAGTAGTGCCTTCAGCATCGACTGAAAATGCATCCTTCCATTTTTCAAACTCAAGTGCAGCAGCTTCTTCCTCTTTTGCCTGACGAGCTTTAGCTTCTTCCTCCTAAATATATATTATAAGGCTCCAAAGAAAGGAATCCAACAAGGAACCAATAAAATGTACAGAATACTAGAAGTGCCAACTCACTAAGGCACGTTCTTTAGCCTCACGCTCCTCCTCTTTTCTCCTCCTCAAATCATCATAACGGCTTTGTTTTGTCTGCCTTGATTCACGAGCAGCTTCTTCAGCCTACATAATCAGGGGACAGGACAACCAAGACTCAGTTGCTAAATGCAGAGTTTCACAAAGAGATCAAGCATACATCTTTTTCTTCAATTTTCTGCTCCTAAAATCATGCATCTTGAATCAGAAGTGAAAGCCACAAGGGACTGAATGGCAAACTGTACTTAACACTAATGTAGGTAAAGAATTCCCCTACTATTTTTTGTTCTTTTGTTTGGAGGAAGGGAATACCCTTCCATGTAGTTTGGAAGTAATAGCTCTAAGCTCTCGGGCAAAAGAAAAAGATTTAATCTTTTAAGAGAAAATGGTTCCTCTCTAATTTCTGTGATGAATAATGACAATTCTAGTCCAACTGTGCATAGCTACTTTGACGAGTAAAATAACATGAGACTAAACAATCAATCTTGATGATGCAGATGAGATCTATCCAGTCAAATTTGATTTTATAAAAACTAATTAGGGACTAAAAGAGTGGAACCTGTCTCTGTGCTTCCCGTTCTTGACGCTTCTTTTCCTTCTTCGTTGATACTTTGGCAGCATAGTATCCATCTCCAGAAGCTTCATCATCACTTTCATCAGCACTTTCTGTTTCATTGTTATAAGTGAAAAGCCATTGCGGTTGCAGTCAGGACCATTGAATTAACTCAATAAACAGCCAAGGATTCATTAGAGATGGCAGTAAAGGAGACAAAACCTTCTATAGCAGCAGCTGCTGAAGATGAGCTGGCAGCTGAAGCAGCTGGTCTCCTACGCATGCGCCGTGTTCCAGTTGCCCTAACAACAGCATCCCTCTGCCTAACCTGACAATTTGTGCCAATACAAAACCCAAAGTTCAGAAGCTGAAATTTAGGAACAACAATTCGACCGACTCCTAAAAAAGACATTTCTTCTTCTTTTTTTTTCCTTAAATCATAAAACTTACCTGAGTATCTTCTTCATGCTCCTCGGGGGATTGAGAACTCTGCCGACGTTTCCACAGATACAGCGGTATTAAAGCCAAAACAAGGAACATCGAAAGTAATGCGACTAATACTTCCTCCATCTCTCAACTCCGTTGCCGCCGCGGCTACTCCGTTTACCGCAAAATTCAGCAAAGCTCTGAACTAAGTGAAATAACAGCTTGCTTCATCATACATTCAAATCAAAATTTAGAATCATACAATTCAATTCAAAAAGCCAAAAGGATCGGAAAATCAATCATTAATTTATTTATTAAAAACAAAAAACAGGAGAGGAAAAAGGAATTCGGATATTTTCGATTGAAATTAAGTGATTAATACAAGAAATTATGACTGAAATCACCGATTACGAACTTAATCGTGGGAGATAAGAACTACCTTGACCGTGAGCTGAGTTGCAACGACGGGAAGACGGAGTTACCTGAAGAAGAGTTGAAGATCCGATTAAAAAACGAAGAATGATATTAATTGGGCTTAATAAATAACCCAATATGGGCTTTGAAAATTGAAATATCTAAGCCCCAAATATTGAAGTCCAATTACTCCATCTTCAACCCATATAACATATTAGGGCAAATTATACCATGGACCTACCTTGATCCAAAAATACCATTCAGATTTTGTATCTATAGATTATAGTTGACACAATCTGTACATGCAGTTAATAGTTTCTGTACATATAGCTATCATATTATGTGTTAGCAATTATCAAGTTATTTGTTTACATGTACAGAAACTGTTAGTTGTAAGTACAGAATGTGTTAACTGAATGTACAAAAATTGTATTACGATTCACAATGTAATATGAACTTAATTGGATTATTTCTCGAATATACTTCCATATACGTTTGTGGCATCTGCTCGGGTATTCAAGTCAGGGTCGAGTAAGCCTTGGAGAATATTTTATTTCTGAAGAGTGAGGGTCGTCATCTATTTATGGGCCCTAACCTTTCAACACAAGGAGATGTCATTCAACAAGCAAATTATTGTGTGGACCATGATTCACATAGTGCTGTGTGGACCATAACAAAAAGTACATTTTTAATATACTAAAAGTACATCATTTAAGTCTCCAAACTTTTGAAAGCTAAAATTAGACACATTAACATATTAATTTAATACATCAAGGTCCAAAATTCTAATTGTGACATGTCAGCGGCGCTCCAGCGACATTCCAGTAAAAGATTGACCAAGCGGAAAAGGCAACCACACTAGTTGCTGTCTCTGTCGACTAGAGAATGTGACCAAATCGATCACCTTCTCCGTCGTTGGAGATGGCAACTAAACTGGTCGTCATCTCCGTCAACTGGATAAGGCGGCCAGTTTGATCTCCTTTTTCAGTGGCTTACTAGTCAAACTTTTGTCAGAATGTCGCCGAAACTTCGCTGACCTACTATAGCAAGTGACAGTTAGGGCTTTGGGTCTTGATGCGCTAAATTAATATGTTATTGTGTCTATTGCAACTTTTAAAAGTTCAATAACCTAATTGACTTATTACACAAAATTAGATGGTGTATTTGACTCTTTTACCTTCGTATTGATTATAAAATTTTGAAAAATGTAAAATTAACATTTGTAGTTTTGTACGTCTGATTAAATTATAGACAGCTAGCACATACACCGGATTATTCGGAATAATAATAATGTATGTTTACGTATGTAGTACGTACAGGAATCTTAACTAATTAACGAGATTAACATTTGTACGGCTGATTAATTGATCTCATGAGGAAGAAGACCCTCCATGCAATCCACGCCGCTATGGATTACCCATTGCTCTTCTTCATCGTGCAAAAGCTTGGCGACGGTGAACTTGGCGGCGACGGAGCGGTCGGAAACGGCGTGAAAAGTCGACCACTTTACCCTGTTCTTGGTAGAGGAACCGGGGCCACGGTTAGAGTACTCGCCGAACCACAATGTGTCGAGGAAGAGGGTGCCGCTCCACTCATACCAGCCGGCGGGGTTGATGTGGGCCCCGATGAAAGACTCCATAACCATGGTTCTGGAGAATTTCTGCCACGGGCGGCCCAGGAAGGTGGGGAAGCGGTCGACGACGGGTGCGAGTTGAGGGCTGGGGACGAAGTTGCAGAGCTGGAGAGAAATTCCGGTGTTCTGGTTCGGGTCGGAGCGGCCCTGAGCCGTCACCATGTTCTTCTGCGCCGCCAGGGGCTTCTTGGCGATGAGGGTGCAGTTCTGGAGCACCACCGCGGCGTCGCCGAATACGAAGTCGATGGTTCCGGTGATAGTGCAGTCTCTGTAGAATTGGCGTTTGGAATGGGCGTATAGAGTGTCTTGGTAGCCCTCGAGGCGGCACCGGTTTATGATGGACTTATCGCCGCCCACCAGCAGCGCCACCGCCTGATGCTTCGCCGCTCCCGCCGTGTTCCGGACGCAAAGGTCTTGCAGAATTGCAGCCGGACCTTTTGAGGCTGCATCAGTACAGTTCATCAAAACGTAACATGATTATAACATAAACAACCTAATCTATTCACTTTATTGGTTTGAAACCACTAACCATACACAAGACTAAATTTCAATTTTAGTCTCTTGACTATAAGGTTCTGTTAACTGCAGTCTAGGACTTTCAAAAATGTTAATTTAATACTTTGATCATGTAATTTTATCAATTTTGGTCACTCCAGTCAAATTGTCAGCCAAATTTCGTCGAAATTAAAATAATAGGGGTTTTTTAGTCTTTTTGCATCTCTTTTCTTTCTCCCTTGCAAATTCAACGGAAAATTTCAACGAAATTTGGTTGGGTGAATAAAATTGATAAAAATTAATTACCTAGTCAACTTTTGAAAGTGAGTGAACTGCAATTAACAGAGACCCTATAGCCACATGACGAAACTTGAAATTTACTCCTATAGACAATTTAAATTGATTGTATGTTCTTTGCTAACTAAGGTCATACGCATAGCACATCTTTACATAGCTATGGGTTCAATTTTCCTTATCATTCAAAAAGAAAACATAATTATACGACCAATTCAATCAAGTTAATTCATAGTAACCATAAAATTACAAATCTAATTCTGGGTGGATATTTTGGTTTAATTTTGAAGGTTAGTAATAGACAATTTAGGCTATTTTTAGGCTAAGGTGACTAGCAATATAGAATAGCTATGAGTTACTTAGTCACTTAAAAAGATATGATTATATATACTTGGTGCAAATTTGGCTGGCTTACCAAGGGTGTAACTTTTGAAGGTGGTGTAATTGTCCCCAAAACTATGATCGCCGGAGAAGACGGTCTGGGTCATGCCGTCGCCGTAGATCATCACAGGGCTCTTCACGTTCATTTCCACGTTCTCCTTGTACGTTCCCTTCTTCACATAGATAAACACCCTGGCTTTACTGACCGCCGACACGGATTCCATCGCTTTCTTCAACGTCGTGAAGTTCCCCTTGCCGTCTTGCGACACGATAATGTCGGCTTTTAGGTTCCCGTGTTTCCTCCGAACAAGTTTTCTGTCGCTAGATTTTACCCAAGACGGAAACTTTCCGTTAAAGGGTACCCGGAAGTTCTGCTCCTCGTCGGTTTGGCCGATGATTTCAGCGAGAACTGCTAAGGCTACTCTGGATCTTGAAATCAGGGCGTCAAGAATTCCCTTCACCGGAGATTTCTCCGGCGGGTTTAAACCTTCCATGCAAGTAAGGTGGTTGGTGAGAACGGCGCTGAGAGAAGTCTGTGCGTCGGAGTTTCTGGTTTTACTACCCTGCAGATCTTTAATGGCGTCTCGAACATCATTAATGGAGAGTCCCATGAGCTCTACACAGTCTGCAACGGCTTGAACTTCTCTGGGGTGGGTGAATTCGCCTCTGACCATACCGAACTCCATTTTCGCAGCTTCCATGGAAGGAAGGTAATCGGCCAAGAACTCCCGGAGCAAACCCGCCGGAGTTCCGCCATAGCTCTTCACCGTTTGTTTGAGTATGGTCTTGCAGGCGGCCGGATCAATGGCAGTGCGACATAATCGTGAAGGGGATATATCATCAGAGCGACTAAAGGATGATGATGATGATGATAGTGTTGTGATCAAAAGGAAGATGGTTTTCCACCTGAAAACTGGACTGCCAAGAAGAGGTTTGAGGTTGCAGGTGGCCATTTTTGAAAGCCTAGCTTATTATGATTGTTAGTTCCTTTAATGGTTTATATGATGCGAAGACCTGTCATGAATGATGCATGGTGGAGCTATGGCTACGGAATGGAAAACTTTACTAGTAGTGTGCACGGGAGCTCAACTGTTTAGTTATAATAGCTTAGAGATATGTTCAACTAAGGAGTAATATATGTTAATGTGATACTTTGCTGGTTAGTGTTATAAAGCCGGATTTATCTAGTATAACTTCGAATAATAATGGTTAATAAATCTTTTTGTGGTTCTTTGTTGACAAAGGTCATAAGACAGAATTTATCTGGTTAACCTTAAGATAGTACGTGGCTATCAGCATCGGTGTCAACAATCCTGGTAATATGCTACATACTAAAGAAGTATTATGTGTGGTTGTATGGAGTGCTAATTAAGAATACAATCTTTGTAACATATATGCCACTCCTAAGATAAGAAGCCATGAATGTCACAATTCCAGCCTGCAGATTCTAAAATCCAATTCAAGAAATTCAAGTGTGTATATATATACATAAGAAGTTCGATCACAAAGAGTATATGTATGAATTCATGATACTTTTCAATTTAGTTATGCTTGCAAAGTTTTACTTACTCGAACTATGAACTACAACTATACGTGTAAGCTCCCCCCGGAAAGAACAACATCTGTCCATGGCTGCCATTCTCCACGTTGTTAGACACATGCAAAAACTCTCTACTGTCTATATAATCCACTACCCGGCCCTTAACCCAATTGCGTTCTTCTCTATCCCATCCCAGATTGATTCACAATAATGGCAAAGATTCTAGCTTTGGTGGCAGTGTTAGGGGTGCTCCTGGCCATGGCAGAGGCCGGCAAGCAGCAGCAATGCAGGCAACAGATAGAGAGCCGGGAACAACAGCTTAGCCACTGCGAGAACTACTTGTCCCAGAAGGGGAAGAACAATTTCGAGCTGGCGGAGGAGGAAGAAGAGAAGCAACCGCCGCCCCAAGAATGCTGCCGGGCATTGCGGAGCTTCAACCGCGAGTGCCGCTGCGCCGCCGTGAGAGAGGCGTTCGGACGGCAGCTGGAGAAGGATCTGGAGGAGAGCGGTGGCTGGGTGGAGCAGAGGAAGATGCAGAGGGCATTGCAGAAGGCCAAGCTTCTTCCTCGCTCTTGCAACATGCAGCAGCCACAAGAATGCAAAATCCGACCCCCCATGGTTCTCTAAATGGAGAAATGAGCGCAAAGATTCAATCTTTGTGCCTTAATCTTCAAAATAATGGCATGGCTAGGCTAAGATCCCTCCCTCTAGCCTTTAGCCAAAACCATGTTTCTTGAATGAATTCTGATGTACCCTATACATAATAAAACTCAGAATTGTTTCATTTCTCAGTAGATTCTTGATTACCAGATTATATTAAGCAGTTGAGGAAAAATGAATATTAGCCACCACAAACAACAAACTCAAAAGAAAACTAAGAAAAGTAGCTTTTATTATTATTCAGAAATAGGGAAGATCAAACAGCAGATAACAGATACATTTTTTTGCAGTGACACAAACATCATTGGGACATTAGGGGATTCAGAAACCACCACGGAGACGAAGGACAAGGTGCAGGGTAGACTCCTTCTGGATGTTATAATCAGCTAGGGTCCTTCCATCTTCCAATTGCTTCCCTGCAAAAATCAGCCTCTGCTGGTCTGGGGGGATGCCCTCCTTGTCCTGAATCTTGGCCTTAACATTGTCTATGGTGTCAGAGCTCTCAACCTCAAGAGTGATGGTTTTTCCGGTGAGGGTCTTCACGAAAATCTGCATTCCACCGCGGAGCCTGAGCACCAAGTGAAGAGTCGACTCCTTCTGGATGTTGTAATCCGCAAGAGTGCGGCCATCCTCCAGCTGTTTTCCGGCGAAGATAAGCCTCTGCTGATCTGGGGGGATTCCTTCCTTGTCCTGGATCTTGGCCTTGACGTTATCAATGGTGTCTGAGCTTTCAACCTCCAGTGTGATGGTCTTGCCGGTCAGGGTCTTGACGAAGATTTGCATGCCTCCTCTCAAACGGAGCACGAGATGGAGGGTGGACTCCTTCTGGATGTTGTAGTCGGCGAGGGTACGGCCGTCCTCGAGCTGTTTTCCGGCGAAGATCAGCCTCTGCTGGTCCGGGGGAATTCCTTCCTTGTCTTGGATCTTGGCCTTGACGTTATCAATGGTGTCGGAGCTCTCCACCTCGAGGGTGATGGTCTTTCCGGTTAGGGTCTTGACGAAGATCTGCATACCTCCCCTGAGACGGAGCACCAAGTGGAGGGTGGACTCCTTCTGGATGTTGTAGTCGGCGAGGGTACGCCCGTCCTCGAGCTGTTTTCCGGCGAAGATCAGTCTCTGCTGGTCCGGGGGAATTCCTTCCTTGTCTTGGATCTTGGCCTTGACGTTATCGATGGTGTCAGAGCTCTCCACCTCGAGGGTGATAGTCTTTCCGGTTAGGGTTTTGACGAAGATCTGCATCTGCAAATACCCAAACTTTCTTCAGATCACACAATAAACTCAAATCAAAATTTAACACAATTATAGATTCAATTCCTCCAATCTTTCCCCCAAAAAATCACCAGATTTTGCAATCAGAAACAGAAAGAACACCTCAAATAGATTCAATTCCTCCAATCTTTCCCCCCAAAAATCACCAGATTTTGCAATCAGAAACAGAAAGAACACCTCAAATCTTGAAAAGAGAACGAACAATACACAAAATTCTAAAAAAATAATAATAATTAAAAAAGAGATTAAAGGAGAAATCAATACCTTGAGATATGAACACGAATGACGGAGATGATAGAAGAGATTGAGAGAACAAATTCAGGATTAGATGATGAACAAATGGAGGGGAAATGGCTTCTTATATAGGAATATGAAACCAACTTGCGACGAAACTGCCCCAACGGATAGCGTATGAGTGAGCGACACGTGTACGGTACATAACCCAAACGGCAAGTTTACCGGTCGTTTTCTCATTTTCTTTGTTCTTTTTTGGGTGCTGGGCGTAGATAATTAGGGAATCCTAAGGGGGATTTGTGGCTCCACGCTCTCTATAGGAAAGTGAGACCCAAACGCCAGTTTAGAGAAATTGGAGGTGTTGGTCACGCAGTTGGTACTCGTTTGGGACATGGTTTCACGTTAGGTGAACCATAAAAGTCATGACACCTTTATTATTACAATTTACGAGTAAACGCCGTTTATAATAATCGCCGCCGGCGTTAACTCTTCCTCCTCATTTAGTGCCGTGGGAATTTGTGCCTTCTTTTGGCCAAAAGTAAAGCAAGTTGATGCTTAACGGGGCCCCTGACGTTACTTCCCGGGCACACAAAAACCATGGGCGCTTCTAGAATTTAATTGATAGGTTCATCACCTATGATTGATGACATATTTAATTTAGGAAACTAAACACAGGGTATTTAACCAGTTTGATTGGCGTGAGTAATTCTACACTCTTATCATTTAAGAGAAGTCAAATTTTCTCTTGTATAAGAAAACTCAATCCGTGCGAACATGAATTAGTAATTCTACACTCTTATCATTTAAGAGAAGTCAAATTTTCTCTTGTATAAGAAAACTCAATCTGTGCGAACATGAATTAGTCTGGATGTGGTACGAGCTTAGAGCCTGCTCAGGAGTCAGAAAATTTTGTGATCTAACCCAAAAAGGTGTTGAAACCAATTTGGATGGCATAATTTTTTATTTTTTTGGTTAAACGATAATATATTAACTCAAAGTCCAAAGACAAAGCATTACAAAGAATAGACAAGGGTTTGAAAATCATTACAAACAATCAGACATAGAGACAAACAGCCTAACTAAGAGGTAAGTTTGTTTTCAAATCACTTTTTAATGTCATACAGCACTAAATGGAAGGAAGAGTCATTTATACTAGAACTAAGACTTTTAAGTTTTAACCACTTGAAAGGAATCAGTCTTAACGAGTAAATACCTCACATATTACTATTTTAGATAAATTGATAGTCAATGATCAATATAAGAATTTTGACACAATCAAAAGACTATTTTATTAGGTATAATATCTTAACTTGAGCATATCAATCAATGCCCATTTGCCAACCATGAGCTCAAGCCATATACCTATACTCATCAAAAATCAAAACCTGATAAAGCTTTTTAAAGATATGAGGTAAATCATCAAAACCTCAACACACTGAAGTCAACAAATGTAAATGTAAATGTCTGCAAAATAGTATTTGCAGCTCAAGTTACAAACTGATGTCTATATGAACTTAGAACTACATGCTGCAAACCAACTTGCGCATAAAACCAAGAGAAATAAATCATCATGAACTAGCTACTTCCCAAAGCACAGGCATATAAAGGTGATATGCTTATGCTACAGGCCATTGTTGATGGTATAATACGATTTCACTGTCAATACATGAATCCGCTATTTTTTTTCCAACGCGTCTGTTGTATAAACATTTTCCCAGGCAGGCAACAAGCACAAAAACTGGAGATGCATTTCACAAGCTCCTTCCTGCAGTGAGAGCAGGGTAAGTACTTGAAAAGTTTCACAAGCGAGATGTAGATACAATGACCAAAACGAAAAAGATAACTAACCATGCGGGAGGGTGAGGGAGAAAGGGTGTCAAGAGTCAAGATCATTGAGAACAGGAAGTTGTGCCCTCGCTGGAGTTGGTTTCTCCTCTGGGTTTATACCTATCATTCCATAACAGGAAAAGCAGCAAAAACACAAGAACATTAGGAGAAAGCAAAGCAGTATAGTGTATGGTCACTTTGGCTGAAGCCAACCGACCAAAATCAGAAAAATTTACCGTGTGATGTTTAAAACAGAAAAATTAGCTAATGCTGTATATCAAGCTCGAGCATTTAAGGCACACAAGTAGCATGAAATGCTTACATGGAAGAAGACTTTCAACAAATGGAAGCGCAACAGAATAGCACCTCTTCAAAGCAGCAGGTGCATCAAGTTCCCTCCAAGTCCTTTCAGTCAAATTGAACACACGATAACGAAATTTATTAAACACATCAAATATGAAAAGTATCTCATCCTTTCCTCCAACTACAGAGTTGAAGGAACTGATAAATTCCAATTCAAGTTCAGCACAGGTTTTCCAGGACCATGTGAACCCAGTTTCTTTATTATCTTCTAGGACAAGTATGTCCACATATGTTTCCGTATTGTCCATAGCAACCAATGATAAGACACCATCAAGGTTGATCAAGAATGTATATCCATTCAAATCCTCTGGAAGGGAAATTCTGGAGAAATTGCCTTCCATATCAACGGACTGAACAAAGGCTGGACTCTCCCGATCTTCTATATTCCAGGCAAGCCAATATAGCCTTCCCTGCACACATACAGAAGTAGGACACACGGGGGCAAACCAATTAACCTTGGGACCTGTTGGCACCTGACCAATGTTCCTCCACGTTCCATCATAAGATTCATAGACTTCACATTCACAAAAATCATCTTCAGATTCAAACTCATCGCTGCAAAATCTGAATACTTTGTAGTTTGTCTCAGCATCAAATACAACTCCAAGTGATGTAAATTTCCCAGGTAGACTACATCTAGGAAGCAATGTGACTTCTTGAGTAGTAGGATTGCATATCCGGATCTCCAAATCATCTTCTTCAGTGTCACTGCGAATGCATAGAAGACCATTGAAGGAGCATATTTCAACTGGAGACAACCCATTGTGAGATCCCGGAAGAGTTAACTGGCTAGTTTCACCATTGTTTTCCATTATGAACATATCTACAGCTGAAGGATAAGAGTAGATGATATATCTAGTATTTGCCTTGGACTGCTCCATGTGCAACTTAACAAAAGAGGGACTAGAAATTTTCTCATACCACAATTTAGAAACAGCTTTGAACCTTACTAGGTCTTTAGTTGGAAGCTTTAGGAGAATCTCTTCCCATATGACATCATTAGGCACTATGCCATACCCATCACTGTATCTTGCCTTGTTACTTTCATGGCTAATCTCAGACATGATCAAATGATTCACTCCTTGTCTTGCAGGAGCAATGTTGCACCTCAATCAACAGATTGTTGTCTTGGGAATCTGATCTGTAATATGAAAGAATTTGCTCATTATTTGCATCTGCAAGCAAGACTGAAGCTGAAAATAATACACTAAAGAAATAATGGATGGCACATCAAATTGAGATGAATATTTTTGGTCTCTCTACTTCCATTTCACAAGTTATTTTCCCACTGATATTCTTAATTACATTTCATTCTGAAACACTTCGGTCTCTGTTAACTTTGGTCTGCTGCTAAATTCTGCTGAGAACTCATTTATTTAGATTTCAATTATTTCTTATTTGTTAAGTTGGCATTGGGCTATGGTCATCAATTGCACACATTAGACTTATCAATTGAGATCATTATGAATTTTGAAATCAAGATGCACCCACACCAACTATTGGAGATTGAACCACAGCTTGAGGTTAGGCATTATGGTAGGCACTAGGCAACGCACCCTCGGCTCAGCATTCTGTCAACTATTTTATAGAAGTAGGTGCTGGTCAAAGATCAGCATTATGCCACTGCAGTAAAAGGACATTGGACCGAACAATACCATGCTAGAATCTAAGATTTAGTCAACTGAGTTGTAATGCACATGGCCCAAACAACACTAAAAAATTGAGCACAATCAATTAGCTAGCCTAACCAATAACCTTATAAACCCATATGTTTCTCTCTTATTTTTCAATGTGGGATTCTTATCACTGGATTCGAACTTCAAACATTAGGGATCCAAATTCCATGAACTATTATCACTGAAAAGTTTACGTCCTTACAGTACCCTACTGTATCACTCTCAATGTGAAACTAATCTAGTATTCTCCCCAATACACCCCCAACCAAAAGGGGAAATTTTGAGCAAAAATATAAATAAATAAATAGATCAAGGTGTATAAGAGCCAAAGAACATCATGTCCTCAAATTTCGCATACCAAAAATGATTACAATCCCTAAAATTATTCCAATATATAAACGGAAACATAGTTAAATCAGAATCTGATACATCTAAAATTGGTCATTCAATAATAGGAAATCTTGACAAAGGAAGAAAATTTCTAATCAAATCACAAACATTTACACATCCCATTTGAAGTGTAAAGTGAGAGGTGGGATAGATGGAAGTATTTAATTACCTAGCTTTTACCGAAGGAGATGCACACACGTAGAAGTAAAGCAAGAAAGCATAAAACTGATAGAGACTTATTCTGGCGGTGGCTGTCTTGCAGCGGCAGCACAAGATTGGTAGCTATAGAGGTTATGGAAATGAACATGCTGATGGTAATTTATAACCTACCATGGGTAGATTTCGCGGCAAAATGTGTAGGGACCATGGGTAGATTTCGCGGCAAAATGTGTAGGGACCACGGGTAGATTTCGCGGCAAAATGTGTAGGGACCATGGGTAGGTTTCGCGCCAAAATGTGTGGGGACCATGGGTAGGTTTCGCGCCAAAATGTGTGGGGACCATGGGTAGGTTTCGCGCCAAAATGTGTGGGGACCATGGGTAGGTTTTGCGCCAAAATGTGTGGGGAGCATGGTAGCTTTCGCGGCAAAATGTGTGGGGACCATGGGTAGCTTTCGCGGCAAAATGTGTAGGGACCATGGGTAGATTTCGCGGCAAAATATGTAGGGACCATGGGTAGGTTTCGCGCCAAAATGTGTGGGGACCATGGGTAGGTATCGCGCCAAAATGTGTGGGGACCAGGGTAGCTTTCGCGCCAAAATGTGTGGGGACCATGGGTAGGTTTCGCGCCAAAATGTGTGGGGACCATGGGTAGGTTTCGCGCCAAAATGTGTGGGGACCATGGTAGGTTTCGCGCCAAAATGTGTGGGGACCATGGGTAGCTTTCGCGGCAAAATGTGTAGGGACCATGGGTAGATTCCGCGGCAAAATGTGTAGGGACCATGGGTAGGTTTCGCGCCAAAATGTGTGGGGACCATGGGTAGGTTTCGCGCCAAAATGTGTGGGGACCATGGTAGCTTTCGCGGCAAAATGTGTGGGGACCATGGGTAGCTTTCGCGGCAAAATGTGTGGGGACCATGGGTAGGTTTCGCGCCAAAATGTGTGGGGACCATGGTAGCTTTCGTGGCAAAATGTGTGGGACCATGGGTAGCTTTCGCGGCAAAATGTGTGGGGACCATGGGTAGATTTCCCGGCAAAACTTTTATGAAATCCTCAAGTGAGGATAAAGCTCCCATATACATTCTAGTAGCCATAGACACTTACTATTAACACCGCATCTGTCCCGTAATCTTAGAACATCCAAATATTCCATAAAGAAAAACTAGTCAAAGAGCATAGTCAGGAAAGCTGCTATACAATAACCTAATTTTGTATCAAGTAATGAAATACCATAACTACACTTATTCAGTACTATGCATCACCCATGAGATTAATGTTTTTCCTGCATGTGATAGAATTCAAATATAAACACACACCACATTATCAGCATAAATCTATATATTGATCCTGTCTAAATTTACTGGTCCAGGTACTCAATAATTTAAAAATAATTTCAATTCTCTTAGGAACTGCAAACAATTAACGTTTTTTCCTGCATGTGATAGAATTCACATATAGACATCTATTACATCATCAGCATAAATCTATATATTGGTCATGTCTAAATTTACTGGTCCAAGTACTCAAGAATTCTCTTAGGAATTGCAAACAATTAAACCTCCTAACTCCCAACAGACAAAGCATAAGACATGCATGAGTGAATTATATAGTTACTTTCCATTTTTTATTTTTCCTTAATCATCCTAATTAAGCTTTGAAAACCTGTCAATTCACGAGAATAAATCAAACAAACAATAGCAACTTCAAGGACCTAATGACCTGAAAAAATCCAATTTTTCCCTTGCCCAGAGGATGAAAACAGGGCAGGATGTGTAAATAAAGAATAATTCAATACAATTACCTGTTTCTTGACCATGTACAGGAACAAGCCAATCCATCAAACTCTTGGAATGCATTCTCCATTGCAGCCCAGTCCTCCTGCCCCGAAATTGCATGGGTAAATATAGGTAAACCGTCGTACAAAAATAGGAAATTACTACATATTTTGTGATTTTTCGCCACTGCGGCCTTGATTGATAGGGGCTTGGAAGAATTTCCATGGGCCTTCGGGTGCAGCTGCACTTGCATGCTGCAAACCTGGACTTCCCAGAAATAGACACAAGTGGTTAATGCTTCAAGATCATAGAATTTAATGCTATAGTAACCACCCTATTTTGCAACTCTCATCCTTGAGATATTACATTGTTCTAATACCACCCCCAACTTCAAATGAAATTACAGAACATCCCATTTAAGATTCCAAATACTTACATCACACACATAACTATTGGAAATTTCTAAATTACAAGGTACTCTGATTCCTTTAGATAAGTCAAAATGCCAAACTACTCCAGGAATTAAACCAGGACCTTTTACTGGATAAACATGATGATAGTCAGCCAAGTACTTTTTGACTCTTTTTGGTAAAATTGATTGACATGATCAAACAAAATGGAAACTCTTATGAGAGAGAATTCTGTTTAAACCAGTTACCTGGTCCATTCTCCTGACTTGACTCAAAAAGAAGTTGCATGCCAAGACAAATGCCCAGGAATGGACATCTTGCTGAAAACAAGTACAAAGAGCTTCAGCCATTCTACAGAACATAGCTTGCATAAATTCTCAGAAAAACTTGAGTGCCTTTGGCACTTGGACCAGCAAATTATAGTCTTCAAGAAAAGCAAATGCACAATATCCCCCCTAATCTGTAATTGACCAATGATTGCCTCACTAATCCTTATCAATCATTAGTTATACCTTCTATTAGAATCTTACCCTTCTTGTTGAGCACATCCATGGCAGTAGCAAAAGCACCTACTCCAGGGAAAAAACAGTGTTTTGCTTTCAAAACTTCCTCTGATGTTTGTACCTAAATAGATGCCAAAACAATAAATAGGAGAAAAAAGGAAAGGCAATAGAGGCCATACAGATTCTCTAGAACTCTAGAAGAGCTAAGTCCAGCTTCACTACTTGGTTACTTGAAATGACAGCAAAATCTCATAGTAACAAATCAAGTACTGTGAAGTATGAACTAATATTGTGATGTGAAGAAATGGGCCAAGTATTATCGAAGTTCATTATAGGAAAATAATACTTGGACTCCAAAGTAGTATTTTCCCTAACTAATATCACGATAGAGAAACGCCTCTCCATTCTTTTCACAAAACTATACGTTTCTCAATGCATTATATACGCACTCTATGTAAATTACCGGAATCCTCCTCGCCGGTAGCAGAGGCGCGGATCGAGCTTCTGGAAGGTTTGAATTTGAGAGCGATACGGTTAGGCTTGTATTGCATATTTGCATGAATCGAATAGACCTAGAACCGGCGGAAGAAGACGACGATGAAGAACAATTTCCAGCGGTTCCAAGTTGTGAAGCTGAAGCAAATGCCGCTGCCTCCATGCTTCCACTACTGTTTGAGTTTAGCGCCACCCGTTTTTGGTGGTTTAAGGCCTTGAAGCACGGTGGCGCCCTTTTCAACCGGCAGTTTTGACTTTCGGTGAAGAGTTTTCATGGACCAAAGGAAATATAATTGCTGAACATATTCATTTCACGCCCATCTTCAAAAAATATTCATTTCACGGCCCATCTTCAAAAAATATTCATTTCACGGCCCAATAACTGTTTGAAGCCCAAATTTGGTCCATAATAATTTTCATAACCAGCCCAATTAATATTACCCATGGCCATAAACCCATAATCTCACAAGAATAATGGTTCAACACATGTTAAATGGAATTTTTTTTTTACCGAGTAATACATTTTTTTTAAACTACTGACTCTATTACATTGTAGTATTTATTCATTTATACTTTCTTAACCTGTCTTGTTAAAGCACAAAGAGTCGACATTCACCTCCATTGAGACTCAGTGTCATGACCTCTCATATGAGAAAATCACTACATGTCATCTGAACACAAAGTGCAATATCGAGTAATACACTAATACTATACATATTATCAAATTCTATTCTATTATTCACTTTTTATTTACGTGATGTATCCTAATTATTATTATTTTTTCTACAAGAGTGATTCATAATTTTTATTATTCTTTTTCTAATTTATTAATAAAATCATGGCACATGATATAAGTTTTATATTCAATAGTAATCCATATACAATCCTATAGGAGTAATCAGTAAGTTAATTTATATTTGAAACGACTCATAATAAATTTGAGATAAATCCTGAAATTGACAGTAGTAACTTGAGATTGTTCCATATTACTGCAACTTATATAATCTTGTATGTTACAATATTTTTAATTACCTAACGAACTTATGAATTAATATCGATAGTAGTGATTGTTCTATCTCATTGTTATTTCTAATTTTTATATTGTATATGTTACCAAAATGAATAAAAGTTCTCATATCAAAAAATCACTAAATTATACTCCGTATTACACAAGATTTTTTCAATGTAATTTATTTATGTGTGATATGTGAATTAATTAGTCTATTGACTCTATTCATGTTGACTTTCAAGTAATAATTAGTCGTTTTAGAGGTTAAAGAACAGTTATACAACATCGTCGGAGGGAAATCGGAGATACGTTATGCGGTCGGTACCGACCTGTTAACGTGCGCCTGGGAGTGAGCTGAGCAGAGCAGGTTGAGGTGGTGGGTCGGGGCGGCCGGAATGGCAAAGACACCGATAGGTTGTGAGCCGGTGGTGGGATCGCTTACGCCCTCGAAGAAGAAAGAGTACAGGGTCACCAACAGGCTCCAAGAAGGCAAACGCCCATTGTACGCCGTCGTTTTCAACTTCATCGACTCTCGTTACTTCAACGTCTTCGCTACCGTCGGTGGCAATCGAGTAATTTTCCCTTCCATCGCTTATCATTTTCACAGCTTTAAGAGTTTTTTTTTTAGTTTTTTTTTTAAAAAAATTTTTTAAATTTTTAAATTCAAGTCTGAGATTACTCATATAGAAAACGGAAGGTAAAATTCATAGCTTTCGTAATCTGATAATCAATCATGGATTTTTTTTTACTTAAAACATCTTTGCCAGTGTAGCTGGTGAAAACCAAGTAATTTACTATGGAGTATATAATTAACTGTATTTTGGTTATTATTCAGTTAAAAATCCAATTTTTTTTTTTTTTTTGGGTTGTCCCTGTTCTCTATCAGGCTAGGTTCTTCCATATGTAAGTAGCTTTGAGTTAAATACTGAAAGTTCAATAGAAAGAAGGAAGAAGACTTATGAACTCCCTAAATTGATTGTTTTTTTTTTTTTTTTTTTTTTTTTTTTGAGAACTAAATTGATTGTTTTATTGCTTGACACTTTATGATGTTAGTGGAACAATACTTTGATAGTTTTGATAATCTTTTATGGTGTATCTAGACCTTGGATTCTTGAATCATTTAAATTCCGGGATAAAGTTTTATGTTAAGAACAGTCATGGATGGAGCTGACTTTTATATGTCCAACTTATGGCTGCTTTTTCAGGTGACTGTATACCAATGCTTGGAAGGTGGAGTCATCGCTGTGCTCCAGTCTTACATTGATGAAGATGTAAGGAACTCGAGTCTTCTTAGTCTTCTTTATTATGGAGAATTTTGAATCAGTTATTAGATACATCTTGTATACGTAAAGAACTTTTGCCCCTTTGTGTGTTCTTTTGTGGACCAGAAAGAGGAATCCTTTTATACTGTCAGCTGGGCATGCAATGTTGATGGGTCTCCATTCTTAGTTGCTGGAGGACTCAATGGAATTATCCGTGTTATTGATTCTGGAAACGAGAAGATACACAAGGTGTTTTACTGAATTCTTAGCTATATATTACTCCGTACTATAGTTTTAAAAAGTGAATAATGTTCTTGTACACAGAAGTACAAAACACAGAGTTTGCCATTCGTTAGTGTGGATGCTGCGTAGTAGGATCTACATGTAGTTAATAATGAAAACATTAAGACTTTTCAAAAACACACTATTAAAATTGTCTGTTTATTTTGGTGAATTTGTGCAGAGCTTTGGTGGACATGGAGACTCAATAAATGAAATTAGGACTCAAGCGCTGAAACCATCACTTGTTGTGTCTGCAAGCAAAGTATGCACTCAATTATTTTTCTTTGTCTTTGCCCCTCTTGTCTACTCACTAAACAAATGTGCTTTTCTATGTTTTGGAGAAATCAGAAGTCCTTAGGATGTTTCTCATATGTTTTAAAGAATATATATATATATATATATATATATATATATATATATATATATATATATATATATATATATATATATATATATATATATATATGACTCATGATCAAATGAGTCCAGCCCTTTCCCATGAGTCCGTGTGGACAGATCTGGTCCATTAAAAACTAGAGATCAATGGTTTAGATTTTCCCAACTGTGCAATTACACAGTTGCACAGTTGGGAAAATCTAGACCATTGATCCCTAGCTTTTAATGGACCAGATCTGTCCACACGGACTCATGGGAAAGGGTGGACGGACTCACTTGAACAATGGCCTATATATATGGCATTATGGTCTGTGTTTAACAATGAAGTGTGGGACACAGGACGAGTCAGTTCGGTTGTGGAATGTTCATACTGGAATATGCATTTTGATATTTGCTGGTGCTGGTGGTCATCGCAATGAAGTCCTCAGTGTGGTAAATTACTCTTCTAGCTCTTGGTGGGGGCATGGTTGGGTGGGGAATTCATGTTCCCGGTAGAGATTATATGTTACTTATATGGGCGCAATAACTTTATTATTTCTGTGATTCATATAGGACTTTCATCCTTCTGATATATATCGCATTGCTAGCTGTGGGATGGATAATACTGTTAAGATCTGGTCTATGAAAGGTGACATATTTGATAGCTTAAAAAAGTTTACTTATATATGTTAATCCTTGAAAGTTGAAAGGAAGTGATGAACACATTGAACACCCTGCAGAATTCTGGCCTTATGTGGAGAAATCATTTACTTGGACTGATCTTCCATCCAAGTTCCCCACAAAATATGTACAGTTTCCTGTAAGTTGCTTTAGTTTTACTCTTTCCTTTTGCATTTAGTGCTAAACGAGATTGTTTAACTGTAGCTGAACTTGCCTTTTATTGTATCAGATGTTCATAGCTTCCATCCATACGAACTATGTTGACTGCAATAGGTGGCTGGGCAATTTTATCTTGTCGAAGGTGAATGCCATCTCTTGTTTCATGCACATCCATTATGAGTTAATTCCATTTTTGATCCTAGATTTATAGGTGACAGTCCACTTCTAGTCATTTTTTATCAGAACATCCTTATTTGGTCATAGTATTATTGTGACATGACCATATTTGATCCTTCGTCAACAAAATCGTTGAAATTTCATTAAATACAAGGACATTTATGGTCTGTCTGTCGACTTTCTGGCATTTTTCCAGAGTGTTGACAATGAGATTGTATTATGGGAACCGAAGATGAAAGAACAGTCTCCTGGCGAGGTTAGGATTTATTTTTGGGTTTTCTTTTGTTCTGATCGTTTCTGGTTGATTTTTAATGAAAATCCCGTACTTAAATGATCTTGTTTTAGGGTACGGTTGACATCCTTCAAAAGTATCCTGTCCCAGACTGCGACATATGGTTCATCAAGTTTTCGTACGATTTCCAATACAAAGCAGCAGCTATAGGTAGAATGAAAGTACTGTTTTTTCAACTTGACATTACCATATACCTCTTCCAATACGTTAATGAATCAACTTGCCAAGTAAGCTTTCCGGTGTTGAGTTTCTCCTTAAATACATGCACGAATCTTTTCCTTTGATTTTCAATGTATTAGGGAATAGGGAAGGGAAGATCTACCTTTGGGATCTGCAAACCAGCCCCCCTGTTCTAATTGCGAGGTTTGTTTACTCTACCCCGCTGTCTATTCCTCGTGAAACCTATGCTATCTTCTTCACGTTTTACATCTCAGCCACGCTCTCTCCTCTTCAGGCTGTCCCACGTTCAATCAAAATCTGCAATCAGACAGACTGCTGTGTCGTTTGACGGGAGGTAAAGCGTCTCTCTCTCTCTCTCTCTCTCTCTCTCTCTCTCTCTCTCTCTCGTTTAATTGTTTTAGCGTTTATAACGTGTTGGATAAGGGAAAGTGATTATATATCTTTGTGGTGCAGCACCATTCTTAGCTGCTGCGAAGATGGAATTATATGGCGCTGGGATGTGGTCTCAACTTCTTGAGTGGCTAAGATGTTTTGCTTGTAGGTTGTGTGCACTTATGGAGTTTATGTAGTTTTTATTTATACCCATTTTGCCCCCCTCCCCCATCTTCGCCTCGAGGGATGTAACTAATCCGGTTGAGTAATTTCTATGAGATCGTTTCTAATATCGTGTTTAAAAGAGTTGTCTTTTATGATATTGGGTTCTTATAGTGTTATGTAATGGATTCTTATAGCGTGTGTATTAATGCCTTAATGACCACTTAAGTAGCTTCCTAAGACAAAGTGAAGGAGTAACTTTTACACAAACAACCCTTTTTCTCTAACAAACCAACAACCAAAGGTCCAGACCCAACCCCAGATGGAGAAAGAAGAGAGCCAGTCCTTTTCCATTTAGAAACATTGTTCTGTCAAAGCATGAAAACCTCATATCACAATTCAACATTATTGAGGTAAAATTGGTTTGGTAACCATAAGGTTCGTTTGAGCTCCCATAGGAACTGTCTATTGGGTTTCTTAGTTCAAGCCAGTCCGCTAAGGGCCAGGCTAATTGACATTCTTTGTGGTCTTTTGTTGGTTAGGGTCACGAGCTTCACCCAGAGCGTATTTTTGAGTAGCAGCCGCGGATTTTACTCGATCGTATAGCTGGTTTGGTAACCATAAGGTTCGTTTGAGTTTCCATGGAAACTATCTATTGAGTTTCTTAGTTCAAGCCGGTCTGCCATGGGCCACATAGACTAACTGACATTCTTTGTCTTTTGTCGACTAAGGTCACAAATGAGCTTCACCCAGAGCGTATTTTTGAATAGCAGCTACGGACTTTCCACAATATCAAGTACTATTGGCAATAATGCTGATAGGAGTTTATATGTACATAGTACTATCGACACCGTAGAAAATTCTAAAAATACAGTGTTTGTTGAGCCAAAGTGAAGCAACACCATACTAATATTCTAAAATTCTCTTTTTGAGGTGCAGAGTGCTTTTCTATTTGATTTAAATGCTGGTCCTCACAAATTTTATAAAGATTTGACAGATAAAAATGGATAATACCTTATAGAGTATAAGATAAGTTGGGGTTAATACCTCCAACTTCCCTTCTTCAAAACCAAGCCAAGTTAACAAATGCAGGCTTTTTCAAGTCTGATGTCTCTTTCTGCCAAACAAACAAATGGCTTAAAATTCTTCAAATTCATGTGTCAAAATACTACTTGTGCTGAAACCTGGAATACATGATTATCTAGCCTGCATGCTAAGCAAGGTTAGGTGATTGATAGTAACTCCCTATCACCATTCCAGAAGGCCTTTCTTTTACACCGCCTTCTTAAAGTGTTCTTCTTGGCAATCCTAAAGACTTCCTCCTCTCTGGTGATTGATTGTCTGGTGAGCAGCAAAACGATCTCAGCCTTTCGTTTCTGGTGGACAGCCAGAGACGACAACGATCAAAATGCAGCTTCATATATCACCGAGTTTGAGGCATGTGACTGTTCTTCCATCTAAAGGCGTAAAAGTGGTCTCTAGACGGCTCTCATATCGCGTGCTGGTCTACTCACTCCTGGCCTTTATGCTGTTCCGGTTTACCTTCTTGTTGACTGCTGTAAACACCATTCACGAGGAAAGCAAGTGTTCGGGCATAGGTAAGTCTCTGACCCGTCTAATCTCTGTCTTATGCAAATCATTACGGTAGAAATGAAATCTCAAGTCTTGGGGAGAACACGTGCAGGTTGCTTGGGGAGGAAGATTGGACCGAGGATTTTGGGAAGGCAGCCTGAAGCAAAGGTCGGTTCGTTATAACATTTTCCTATGTGTTTTTTTTCTGGTTTAGGTAGAATTTTAGAATGAACAGTTCTGTTTTCCCCGGTTTTCTGTTAGGTTCCAGAAGTGATATATCAAGTATTGGAGCAGCCTGCAGACCAGACTGATATAGAATTAAGACCTGAAATTCCTCAGACACTGGAAGACTTAATGGATGAATTTAAAGGCGATAAACCAGATCCAAAGACATTTGCAGTAAAGCTAAAAGCTATGGTATGGTGAATGCATAAAAAGATAAGATTGTTGAGCATATAGCCATTAATGTGCAATCCAACTATTAGCTTAGGCTTTTAGTTGAGATGGAGCACATGCTTCAATTTGGTATCAGAGCCAGACCGCGCCACCCATAAGCGACTACGGTCCACGTGTTGCCCCATTGCACACGTGAGGGGGCGTGTTGAACATATAGTAATGTGCAATCCAACTATTAGCTTATGCTTTTAGTTGAGATGGAGCACATGCTTCAATTCAGAATTCAGATAAGCAAGAAACGTCGATTCTCAAAGAAAATGGCTTACTTGTGTTGTTTGTTTATCGACATACCAGGTCACTCAGCTCGAACAAAGGACTAGAACCGCGAAGATCCAAGAATACTTCTACCGTCATGTGGCATCCAGTAGCATCCCGAAGGAGCTTAACTGCCTTGATCTAGTGTTGGCAAACGAGCACTCGACCAATGCCAATGCTCGTCTCCAGCTTCCATCACCGGAGCTAGTCCCTGCCCTCGTTGATAATTCGCTCTTCCATTTCGTCTTGGCATCTGACAACGTTCTTGCTGCCTCTGTCGTTGCATCATCGCTTGTCAAGAACTCGTTCCACCCTGAAAAGGTCGTGCTTCATGTGATCACAGACCGGAAGACTTACTCCCCGATGCAGGCATGGTTCTCCTTGCACCCCCTGGCACCTGCAATCATTGAGGTTAAAGGGCTGCATCACTTCGATTGGCTCACAAAGGGGAAAGTCCCAGTTTTGGAAGCTATGGAGAAAGATCAAAAGGCGAGATCCCAGTTTAGGGGTGGTTCATCAGCCATTGTGGCAAACAAAACAGAAAAGCCGAGAATCATTGCTGCAAAATTGCAAGCGCTCAGTCCCAAGTACAACTCACTGATGAATCACATTCGGATATATTTGCCAGAGGTTATTCTCTACACTAATACCTTTTAGCACATAAAAAAATTCTAGCAATCCTGAAATGCATAATCTTGTGCTGCAGTTGTTTCCTAGTCTTAACAAAGTGGTCTTCCTTGACGATGACATTGTGATTCAAACTGATATGTCGCCTCTGTGGGACATTGACATGAATGGAAAGGTGAATGGAGCAGTGGAAACATGTCGAGGAGAGGATAAGTACGTGATGTCTAAGCGCTTCAAGAGTTACTTGAACTTTTCCCATCCACTTATAGTGAAGAACTTTGATCCAAATGAATGTGCGTGGGCTTATGGTATGAACATATTCGATCTTGAAGCATGGAGAAGAACAAATATAAGTCAGACATACCACCACTGGTTGGAAGAGGTAACCACAAACAACATAAGAAGACTGCCCTTTACACTGTTCTTGAGAATCGAAACTCAAAATCTTTTTTTTTTTTTTTTGGGTCAGACCACAAGGTGTCCTGAGTAGGCCCTAATTGTAGGAGGCACCTTTAAACCTGTACCATACTCAAACTAATCCCTGTTCGAACCGGGCGGCCCAAGTAAGGGGCAAAGTGCTGGCCAGATTGGTTTCTCCATACGAGAGGGGGTTCGAACTCCTGACCTCTCTTAAGGGACAAGAGTGCACGACCACTCACGCCAACCAAGCTGGTTAAACTCAAAATCATTTTTTTGTTTTGGTCAGACTACAAGGTGTCCTGAGTAGGCCCTAACTGTAGGAGGCACCTTTAAACTTGTACCATACTCAAACTAATCCCCGTTCGAACCGGCCCGGCCCAATTAAGGGGCAAAGTGCTGGCCAGATTGGTTTTTCCATACGAGAGGGGGTTCGAACTCCCGACCTCTCTTAAGGGACAAGAGTGCACGGCCAGTCACGCTAACCAAGCTGGTTAAACTCAAATCTTTTTAAGACAATGAATAATGCTTTATATTATCTAATGCAGAACTTGAAATCAGACCTGAGCCTGTGGCAATTAGGGACATTACCTCCGGGTCTGATTGCGTTCCATGGCCACGTGCATGCTATCGATCCCTTCTGGCACATGCTAGGGCTCGGCTACCAGGACAATACAAGCATTGCAGATGCTGAAAGCGCTGGTGTCGTACACTTTAATGGCAGAGCAAAACCGTGGCTAGACATAGCATTCCCTCAGCTTCGACCATTATGGACCAAGTACGTTGACTTCTCTGATAAGAACATAAAAAGCTGTCATATTAGAGCACATTGAAACTGGTTCAAGAATCTATGAATGCCAAATTGATTCTTGAAAAGAGAAGGAATCCAGGCTTACCTGATGTGAGGTGAGAACTCCCCCGGGCTTCACAATTTTTGAACTCCTTCTCCCTACTGCAACTGCTGCCTTCTCTTATGTATAGAAATTCCATCATGTATGTATTGAGTATCTTAGGATTTCACTCTCTGCTCAAATATTAAAGAATACACTATCTTCAATGTGACTTTCAAGATTTATACTTTCAGAAACCTCATTTGGTCATGCAAATAGCAGCCTCAAGAAAAGTTTTGAATCTTGATTTGCTTAGAGGCTTTTGTAGTTTTGTGAGAGACATGATGCCAAATTTTGGCTCAAAGAGTAGATCATAAAATCAGGAAAAAAGGAAAATTGAGCAAATGACAATGTAGGGCAAACTTATTGAAATTTACAATAAAGCCAGCATCAACTAATTAGTTTGAAGATCATGTAAATCTTCCACCATACATCAAATCCAGTTCAAGTACTAGAAAGATACAGATTGAAAGGTCAGCAACGAAGTAAATGGGAGATTAAATGGCAGCCCAGTTTTTGCAGGCCGGCTATGGAAACGCCTTAAGCAACAGGTGGTCGAAGGACATGATCCTGTGAGGTGTCAACAGCAGCAGGAGGTAAGAACTGCCACGTGGCAACCCCAGGGTAGCTAATGACGGGAACCAATTTACTGACTTGACCTTGAGCAGCAAATGCAGCAGGTATTGCAGGAGGCATGAAGCCAGGTTGTGCATTCATGGTCTTCAGCTGTTGCTCAAGCTTCTCTTTCTCTGCCTTAAGCCTTTGCTTCTCATCCCGAAGTTCAATCTTCTCAGCCTATACAATTGAAAAATATAATAATTAATTCACTAAGATGAGTAGACCTAACTAATGAGGAAGGTTTGGAGTTCAAGGTTGATATAAAAATTAACGGATTGTTTCATCCAGAACCAAAAACGAAGGATGAATCATCACCTTCAACTCCTTAATCTTTTCCTGTAGATTCAAATTCGAGGCCTTCAACTTCTGAGCTTCGATACGTAGCTGTGTCACCACACGTACAGCATCAACTAGGATAGCAGATTTGTCGGTTTTAGGAACCTTGCCAGGCTCAAGAATAGCACTCAATTCCGTGAACCTAGGTCAACTCATATCAATTTAGTTTTGTTCAAGAAATCAATAAAACGTGAAGACCAGTACAAAGAATGAAGAATAAGCACACCTATCATTTAGCCTATCCCTTCGCAACTTCTCCCCACATGCTTTGGAACTCGATGGAGCACATGATTCAGCTCTTGACCTGTAGAAAGAACACAGAATGGTGAGATGAAGTTTCCTTTAATCAATGGCTTATGTCCCTTTTAGCATCAAATTTGATGCTCCAATAAAAAAAAAATGCATTTTTCCTATATAAGCCAAAAGAAATGTTGTTACTGGTAAACAAATTCCCTGTCAAAGTGTTTCCACAGAAGATGTACAAGTTCTCTACCGTTTCTTGGAGCCAGTTTCCTTTGATCCATCGAGTTCCGCACTAAAAACAAAACAGAGCACATGATTAATATGTAAAAGAAAGACAGCGAAAAGATCCTAAAACAACAGAATTTGCAACAATAAAGAGGCTAATCTAATCATAAAACCTACAACACAAGCTCAAAGAACCAAACTTTATTCAATACTTGGAATTATATAAAATCAAACTAACCCAAACTGATCTTTCTGCAGCAAAACGCTACCTGAGAGAAGACGAACCATTCAAGGTCTGCGCGGACCAGCTGAACCCAGAACCCGAAACAGAAAAATTCGTATCGGCAACACTGATATCTTCGAACCCGTAATCGTAGAGCCAGTTGGTATTCTCCTGCAAAACCATTTCCGACCAGCCGCCGGTGAAAGCCAAGCACTTTCCGGCCAGAAGACAAACTCAGAACTCACAAAGCGCGTCCCGGGGATTTTAGATGAAAAGGGGAAAACGAAATCAGGGGAATGCGATGGATTGATGACGACGATGTTGGAAAATTGAGGAATCTTTGTTCTTATTCGTACACAACAAATTGGCATGTGTTTTACGCAGTAAATTATAATTTTAGGACAAATTTCATATTCCCCTCTTCACTTTGATTCTAGCCATATGAATCCCTAACATTCATGATATTATATTCAAACCCCTTACATTTCATTATCTTTTCATTATACTCTACAATCAAGGTAAATTTAACAATTTTGCTTCTCTAAGGAATTTAATTGAAACTTTTTTTTAATGGAACCTAATTGCATCCATTGAGCTTAAGAGCTATTAAGAGCAACCATACTAGTAGTAATTTCTTAGGTTTTATCAGATTAAAAAATTAAAGAAAAAAAAATTTTAACGTGAAACATGATTTTATAGTGATTTTTCTTCCTGCAATGTTAAAGTACTTAGATTTTGTGTGCGTGACGCGCGCAAATACACAATCAGCGCCCAAACTAGCACGTCTTCTGTTATCTTATTTTTTAAAAAAAAAATTCGTCAAATGCATCAAGATTTTTTTTCTTTTTTCTTTCTCTTTGTTTCCTCTCTCTTCTTGTTGGCACATAAAATATCATGATAAATTACAAGCTGATGTGGTTGTTCTAAGCTCGTCCATTTGACACTTTTTCTTTGATTACTACTCCGTATTAAATAAAAAACCTCAAATAACATATTATAAACCAATCATCTGACAAGTGACAATCAATCAATTACAACACAAAACATGAGATAATATTTTTATCATTAAGAGTAGAAAAGAAAAAAATTGGCCAAGAAAAGACAAGTTTCGAAAATTAGTATTGGTACGGTACAGTAGGAGATAGTAGCTTGATGAAGCCAAATGTGAATAATTGTTGTAATTTGGGGTGGGGGGGTCTGATACAAAGCCAGTATCTTCTCCACTATACAAAATACAGGGGGGATATGCTGCTTGTTAGGAGGAAATGCTTATATATATTCAGTTAAAAATCAAATGCATTACAGATGTCACACACAGGATGGGGACAAGGTGAAAGAGAACTATGATGATCATCATCAATTCTGTAAAAACATCAGCAGATCAGCCAATGCTGAGGCGAGAATCTGGAGGGAGGCGAGAATCTGAAGGGCGCAAGCTGGTTTGCCGCCTTGGAATCCCAATCTCGCAAGCGTTCACCCTTGATGCAAAGCGGAGTGAACACAGTGATTCACCCACCGAAGAAGGGTCTGGTGAAACATTCACGAACATCAATGTCTTCGAGTCGCCACCCAGGCATGGCTGATGAACAAACAGCAGAGTTCAATTCATCAGTATATACTTACTTGCTCAGAAATGAAGCTTTTGGTAGGATACAAATGTTTACCTGGAGAAGATATGTCAGCTTTGAGTTCCTGAATGGAACATGCTCATCTTTCTTTGCCAATGCAAAGATAACGTCACTCAGAGATGATAAACTTTTATTGATAGCCTGGGAAAACAGATTATTTAGATGAGATCATATGCTGCTGCTATTTCCAAAAGGTCAATACACCTTTGTTGTTTGTACCTGAGTTTCTTTCAGTCGGTCTCCAGTAGCCCCACTTCTAGATAAACGTTCACTGCCCGCAAGGTCAATTAGGTTCAGCACACCTTGGACTTGTTGCTCCGTACTCTGGAAGAACAACGAGTTACAATAAGATCACCAAAAGGAATAAATTGGCACGGTGTTTAGCTATATATCAAAGTAACTTCTAACCTCATTAACACCAGATATTCTGAGTGTGAACACAAAATGGCTTCTTGAAGACTGCTCATTCATTTGAGTCCTCCCGGTAGACCTAAAAGTTTGAAACCCAAAAACAAATAGGTAACATAAAGCATTAACATCTGTACAACAGAGCTAACAAAACAGTAATGATTACAAGAATAACAATTATTTTTACAAGTCAACAATCAACAAACAGCATATACCTGCTTTGCGCTGCTCGTTCTAAAAGGTATGAAACTTCCTTACTGCTACGAACATCCAAAACTGTTAAGTCAGACACGTGAGTGTTGCCATTTCCATCATGTTTAATAGCATATTGCTTTCCTCCATTCTCACTTCTGGAGGCATCAAAACCTGATCGATTTGGAGACAGAAGGTCTCGAATTGTTTCGTTGTATATCTCAAGCATTGATACCTAAAAACAGACAGACAAGAACGATATAATCAACACTAAAGAAACATATTAATGAGACTTAGTTAACAGAACACAAAGCATTTCCTCACTGCCCCAACCTGCATGTCGTATCTCCATCCTTGTGCGTGATTATTTTGCCTTGTTTGGAATACTTGCTCCAATGTACGTGGGATTAGCCCTTGCTGATCGGCCCCTGGATTGCCCATCATGGTATAAGTCTTACCAGAACCTGTCTGGCCATATGCAAATATACAGACCTGAAAAAAAAAAACCGAATACACCACCATTTTAAGCAGGCAAATATTGCTCATACTTCCATGGAACACTGTAACAACATATCATTGCTATAATGTGAACAAAACTACATGCTATTTTATTACCAAAACAAAAGTATGCAGCATTCCAACAACCAAAAGAACATTATATAGTAGTTTTAGTTTTAAAACAAGACAAAGAACCAAACACCCAACAATCATAAGGAGACATGGCTATGCAGTCATACTTTGGGACACTGCATGTATACAATGTACAATTCATATTCAACTGTAGAAGAAAAATCTATTGAAGAAATACTTAGATTCAAGTTCTCTTTCAGTAAGTTTAGACATGACTTCAACAAAGTACTCAATAAGGACATAGATATGATTTGTAGTTCATAGCATTTAAGAAGATCAAAGTAAGTGCTGAGGGGAAAATATCACCTTGTAACCATCAAGAGCACTCTGGACAAGTTGTGATATTTCATCAAAAACATCCTTTTGTGAGGCCTCAGGGACGAACACTTTGTCAAAGGTGAAAGGGTGTTTTTGACCTTATATAGAAAGAAAGAAAAACAAAAGGGGGGAGAGAGTTAAAAAGGAGATTAAAAGTACATAATATTATTTTCAAATTCATTTGAATTAACTACCAACCATTATGCGACAACTCAATGCCCCGTCCAAGTGTTTCCAATGATGTTGGAAAAGATACAACCTTTTCTGCACTAATGGCATCATCAGATAATGCAGGGCGCACTCTGCAGAACACTCTAATATTGCCTTTTAGTTCCTGCATAACCCCATTCATTAATGAAAATTGATAATCCATAACTGAAAGGAAAAGTTTACTGCACTTTAATCCAAGAATATTACCAGAATTGTATTGTGCAATTTTTTACGGAGTTTTTCACCCTCAACAATTTTTGTTTCTGCCTCTGTAAGTCGCTGATTTAACTCGTTGATAAGTTGCTTTTGACTTTCATATTCTGATTTTGTTTCTAGAGCTGACCTGTCAGACATCTGATAAAGCAACATAATAAACTAATAAGACAAGTTTGGATAACTACATAATTTGAAGAGTGGAGATAAAATGTCTTAGCACATTGTATACCTGTAACTTCGCATCTGCAAAAGAAAGTTGTTCCTGCAATCTTCTAATTTGTTCAGATTGAGACAAACATCTTGCCTGGAAAAATTATTACACAATATTGTTACTGAACAGAAAATAACATTATAAAGCGTGATTTTGAGAAATCAAAATTATAAAAACATACCTCCATCTCATTAGACTTCACTGTCAGGTTATCCAACTCAGCAACAGATTTTCCAGTGCATTCCTTGTATTTTATCACTTCTTCTGTTAAAATCTGGACTTTTGCTAGCTGACAGTCCCGTTCATTCCTCATGGTCTGCAGATCTCCCCGCAGACATCCCACCTCAGAAGCTAAAGTTTCTTTTTGTCTTGTAGCCTCATCTTGAGCAATCTAAAATGAAAGTTAAGGGAATCATAAAAAGTCATGAGAATCTAGTATAGAGGACCAGATATAATATCAATACATAGTTATACATGCTGTACCAAGCCTAGATAAATAGATTTACAATCTACAACAAAAGCACATGTATCATTTAGAAAGAAATAATGGCATCAGTGGGGCAGTAGGAAATTTTCATGGTTGTAATATTGCTAGCAGAGATATCACAAGTAATAATTTAAACTTTGTCTAGCTTAATCTACTTTTAAAACGAAAATTGCCCTATGAACTGCTGAATAAACTATTCACTGCAAAAGCAGAGGTGCAGAGAAACAAACATGGTAGGTTGTTCAGATGGATTTCCAAAAAATATACAAAAAAGCTAACGTTATTCAGAATGGACTCCCCATCCTCCCATCAATTTCAGCTTTTTACTGGAAAACACCCATGGATTTACTTCTTCCTCACAGGTTTCATCATATAACAGGAAGAAGATCATATAACAAGTAGAAGATAACAACCACATATATAAAAAATTTCTTTGGAAGCATAAGTAGTGAAATGAATAAAAGAGAAGATGCACTAACCCTAGAAGATGCAAGCTGTTCCTGCAAAGAAGTATAGTGACCCCTCAATGTGCTGAGGTTTTCAACTACAGCAGCTTTCTCTTTCTCCACACGCTTGAGTGTCTCATTAGTAGTAGCAAGCTCAGACTGAAGTCTACTATTGTATTGCTGTAAACTTGTGTTATACTCTTGCAACCGCTTGTACGTATCATTTAGATATTGAATCTGAATATCCAATAACAATCAAATTATAAGTTATCAACCAGACAACAAAGTGAAAAGAATACACATAAATCCACAAAATAGGCATCTACAGTACCTTTTGATTGGCAGTAGTTAAATCTTGTTGAGCTCTCTTATGCTCCTCTGAAAGTGATGCTTGCAGTGTCTCTGCTGCTACCCTGGCCTCTTTCTCTCTACTAAGAGAATTAAGGGCTTCCTGATCATGAATTAAGCAATTTATTTACAAAGTATTATTAACACTCCAATAACATTCATCTGAAATGCCTAAGTCTGCTAAGGAACAGTTTCAGGATATGCATTACCGATTTTTCAGATTCCTCCTTCTTCAAATTGTCCTGTAACACAGCAATATTTTTCCTCAACTCCATAATGATTGCATTCAATTCCTCTTCCTTTGATTTCATTAGCATATCTAAGTGGAGCCCAAAACCAAAAGTACAATGAGTGAGCATATCCATTGATCTCCTCAGAACTAATTTAAATAATAGCAGTAAAGTCATACCCATCTCGCTGCACCTCTTCTCTGCTGATTCTAGCAAGCTTTTGAGTGACTCCTGTTCAGAAATATAGTTTCCCTCAAGCTGTTGGAACCACCTAATGCACTGCTTAAGCCTTCTAATATATTCCGACATTTGATCACATTTTTCCTAAAAATAATGAAGGAACTCATCATAACAGACCTCTTTAACATCCAATATATACTAATCAAATATGCAAAATATAGCATTATACTAGAAAAATATCTAGACCAGCTACCTTCATATTATACTTGTTCTTAGTTTTCAGCTTCTCAACTAGCAATGCTTCAACATCTTCCTTGTTAAACTCAATAACTCCACAATCTGAGCCAGCACTACTTGGCGGTCCACTGGTTGGAGGCAGATCTGCACTCCCATTTACCACAGCAAACGCCTGTCTACCAGGTCTAACTCCAGACGGCATCTTTGGATTCCCAATCTTTCTTTTCTTATCTACTGACACCTCATCCACTGTGAACTTTCCCTGCGAACACCAAATAAATTTTAGTATCCTAAAAGTTTGAAATTTCAGCAGAATCGTCTATAATGAAATAGAGCCCTGAAGAAATTCAAGACTCTAACCTAAAAATTCAAATTTTCAACACACAACAGAACCAATTTAAAAAACCCCATTTAGACGCTGAAAAGTATTAACCCCGTGAAAGCCCATTCTGATTAGAAATCAAACGCTTGTTCTACTAATGGGAGACTGGGATGAAGAAAATCACTAAATTTTGTATTCAAAATTTCATCACACAAGAGAACAATTTTAATTTAAAAACCCCATTCCGACGATGGAAATAATTAACCCCGTGAAAGCCCATTCTGGTCAGAAATCAAACGCTTGTTCTTCTACTAATGGGAGACCGGGATGAAGAAAACCACTAAAATTTGTTTCTTTTTTGATAGATAGAGAAAAAAAGAAAGAGAGAGTGCGGAGGTCTTACGTTGGATGGACTCGAAGGAGTTGGAGCTACAGGAGGCTTATTCTGGCTCTTGGGAGCCATTTGAAAGTGAGCGCAATTATGGAAGGAGATGTAGAGAGAGAAACAGCACAAAACGGACAGAGAAGATGTAAAATCAAGGGGAAATGAATTCCGGAAGCTTTTAGGGTGGGGTCTAGGGTTTGGATTGAAACTTAAGTTTCCAGATCTTATCGCAGCCGTTGCTTTGAATTGCAGTAAACTGGACGATCTCTCTCTCACTATCAGACAGTGATTTTCAATTCTTTAACCCTAAAAAAGAAATTAAAATGGCGTATATGATTCTCTCATCAATCTCTTTATCTGTATGACTATATCTTCTCTCCGGGGACCTGATTGGTAATTTACTGCGGAGGGGCCAGGGTGGCGCTGGGTGGGGGGTGGGGGTGGAGATGTCGGGTCGGGCATAATAGGGCGGAGCGTATGGTAACTTTTTGAATTTTTTTGAAATAGGATCTGGCGGCACGAGCGTATAGATTCGTTGAATTGTTGTTTGACGATTTTGTCCCTAACGGTTAACTTGAATTTCCACCATTGACTTTCTCTTCTCTTTTTCCCCCTTTGGTTTCTTCTATTTGAATTGATTACAAAATACACTCCATATGGCACCAAAGAGTTCAATTACAAGGTCAAATTGTTACAAAATTAATATATTATGAGTAATACAATTATAAAGAATAAATTTTGTTTGAAATAGCATCTCTTAATATAAAATTTAAGGTATCGATTATTATGTTAATTTCTACTAAGTATAACTAAATATGTTTTTAGAGACCAGAACTATGTGGTATAATGGTATCCAGGTTGGACTTCCATTTGGAAGATTATGAGTTCAAGCCTCAATGGAGGCGTTATTTGTGTTTTAGTAGGTTGAGAAAGTATATGAACATCTACTACAATGTAATAGAACCAGTAGCTTTCAAAAAAAAATATGTTTTTAGAGTGCACTAAACACATGTATCAACGGTACGGTACTTAGTATAACCAAAAATGTAATTTTTTTTTTGTATAATTGATTAGGCGTGCAGTGTAACTGATAAGTCTCTATTAAACAACTAATTAATTATAACACTATGAAATGTTTAATAATTAGTTTGTTAGGCAATAATTGAATGTGTTTGTTGTTTTGACCCGTTAATAATATTGACAATTTGTAGGCAAATGTTTCATTAAATGAAATATTTGTTGTTATGTACATAATCTCCAACCCCAAAGGCCCCCGCACATTGTTGTTGACGATGTTCAAACATTGATTTTTTATCTCAAATACTTTTTATTGAATCAGTAAGTTAATACTATGTAGACTAGTTATCATGATACTAGCCATATATATATATATAGAGGGAGCTAGAGAAAATCAAAGTGACTTGGTGCTAGTGTATGTATAATACAAAGAATGGAATAAAGGGTCAAATATGTTATTCAACTACACACTAAATTGTAATTGGGTCATCATACTAAAAAAAAATAAAATAAAAAAAAAAAATTGGGTTAATGAACAACACAAACTCATGCAATTTAACCCAAAATGACATGTTTACCTGAAAACATGCTGATGTGGCAGTTACCGATTTTAAAAATTAATAAATAATTTTAAATAAATTAAATTTTTAATTAAAAAAATGTTCGTAGGGACAGAGGTATCACTGGCCATGGAAATGCCTGGAGACGAAGTCGACCCCTTCGTCTCCATGGCCAGGAGAGGAAGGTGGCTTCGTCTCCGACCGTTTCCATGGCCAGTGAGACCTCCACCCCCTTTGGCCTTCGTCTCCGGCGGAGATGAAGGTTTTTTCTTTCTTTTTTTTTTTTTTAAATAATTTTAAATAATTATTTAAAATTATTTTTAAAATCGGCAACCCCACGTGAGCCTGTTTTCAGGCCAGATAAACATGTCATTTTAGGTTGAATTGCATGAGTTTGTGCTATTCAGAGACCCAATTGCATATTTTTTAAGTTTGATGACCCAATTGCAATTTGACATGCAATCAAGTGGATGATCTATTTGACCTTTTTTTTTAGAAATACTCATGATTCTTTACCAGGTAGTATCTATTCTATACTTTTTCAAACAATTTCAACCCAAAGAATCTAAGTCCCACCACCAGAATTCGAACCTATGAGCATTCATTTAGAATAAAACAACCGGGGTGTCATCACACTACATGATAGTATATATATATATATATATATATATATATATATATATATATATATATATATATTTATATGTATACTAGGAGGGCGGTGAGGAGTGAGAGCAAGCAATGCATCAACTTCAATGACACACACCTCTGCTATTGTTGGTGACACTAACTTTTCATTTCTTGTTGGTAACACTCTTATCACAATCTCTTTCTTTGAACCCTTTTTGTGTAGCTTCTTCATTACCCCCATCCACCACACCATTAAAATTGATATCTCTCCTTCCCATCTCACCAAGAATCTATCCCAAACGTGTTCTCTTCAAAAACTCCCATCCTTCCACTCACCTTTCCAACTCTCAATATCTAACATCATTCACCTAAAACCCTAAAACTATAAATATATAAATATATATAAAGACAAACGTACGTGAGTAATGAATGTATGTATTATAAACCTAACCCCAACATTAACATACTGCTACCTAGGCACCTAGCTGCTGATCGACTTTGTTTGTCTTGCTTCTATGTGTGTGTATATATATATGCATGAAGGATTTATTCATTGTTTAGTTACTATTATATATATTTCTCAATCAATTATATTATTTTCAAGCATTTTTCGATATTCAAACTTGATATTAAACTTAGTAGGGTGTTTGCATTATTGGCAATTACGTACCGTATGTAGTTGTTGTGATAGTTGATTGTATTAATTGTTTTGACCAACTGGTACCTATTAACCGTTTATAATAATGTGTTCGGTAAATACTAAATAAGATATATACAATTTCTCAATCAGTTGTTTTTCGAAAGTGTTAATATTCATATCTGCTTCAAACAATTATAATTTTATATAAAAATGAATGTGACTCGAAAATGAAACACACTCTTTATTAAAAAGTTGATATATGATAAACTTAAACATTTTGCTTGTCATCAAGGCATGCATGCATGGCCGCTTAGCTTGATCTAACAATGCATGATATAAAAATAAAGGGATGCATGGGAGTTGAAAAAGACGAGCGAGGGAATCAAAACATAAGTTTGGAGTTAGATTGTGTTGGGAAAAATGCTTACGTTAGAAGATTAGAATGTTGGCTGGTTCCATCCAAATGGAGGAGGACCAGGCCATCTTGATCATATCGAATTGGAAGCCGGACAGAAAGACACAGAATATTATTATTATTATTATTATTATTATTATTATTATTATTATTATATAGATTTAATTACATTCAGGTAAAAACACATCTTAAAATACAAATCTGTGAACAATTTGACGCCATTGGATGGTGGTATTGGACAGTCCTGATTTTTTCCTCCTACGCGCTGTGTGCATGTAAGTATGTTAATGTGTGCACGAGCTTTAATGGATGGTTCTGATTTTTCCTCTTACGCGTTGTGTGCATGTAAGTATGTTAATGTGTGCACGTGCTAATCCCATAAATTGTTAACAGTACGCGTTGTGTGCATGTAAATATGTTAATGTGTGCACGAGCTCAAGTTTGTATTTTAAGGGAAATTTGTACTTTAAGGGGGTTTGTATTTGAATGCAACCCTCTATATATATATATATATATATATATATATATATATATATGTGTGTGTGTGTGTGTGTGTGTGTGTGTGTAGGCAACTGCTTATATGGTTGACTACTATTTGCAAAACAAATATTATTTAAAGAACCTTGAAGGAACTTGACCACATAGTACTTATACAATCTTGCCCACCAACAAATATAATAACAATTCATTTGACTCAACTTAATAAAAAAAAGCTACGGAGTAGTTTTTTTTTTCAAATTTTTATGTAAAAAGATTTTTTTTTAACATATCGGTTTGGATACAGGGAATCTCTCCCAACTTCTACTACTCAATTCATAACCTTCAAATCCAAAAACAGAACAATTATCTATCTAAATCAAAAGTTGTCGAATTACAACTATTTTCTTATATAAATTAATTAACCTCATTACGAATTACCATAATTCATCCTATCATCAACAATGTGGCATATATATATGATCTTTTATTTTAAAAATATTTTTGTATATAATAACATAATAATATAAAAAATTTAAAAGAATAAAAAGACCTTTTACACTATATTCTTTTATTTTTTATTTTTTATTTTCATTTTGGCATGAACAAGAGATAGGTAAGACAACTCATGTGTTATCGATTGAACGAGAAACAAAGTTGAAAAAAATTAATTTTTTGAAAAAAAAAAAAGGGAAAAAGAGACAAAGAAACCAAAAGGCAAATAACGATTGTTATGTCCTTCCAGCTTTCATCCCATGTAAAAAACTGGCATGCTCGGCGGTCACCATCCCACGCCACCCTATTCCTGATTATTCAAAGTCTGTGCATTTGGAGCTTCTTTTGCTGGATCCCAGAATGCGCAAAAACCTTCAAGATTAGGGATTTGGAGAAAAAGGAAATATCTTTTTGGGTTCGTGGGTTGGTAGTTTCCGGAGGATCCAATTTCTAGGAACTATTCCCATTCTGATTCTACGAGCTTGGTATTGCATTTCTTGATTTCAATCCCAAATTTTGGCTTTTTTCTGGGGGGAGAAGGCGTAAAAGAAAACAATTGTGGAGGAGGTTGACTCCTCAAATTGATTTTTGGATGAATTTTAGATGTGGGTCACTACAATTCTTGGCAGAAATTCTATGATTGTGACACTTGAAGTGCTGTGCATTGGGAAATGTCTGGCATTGATGATTGTGGCTTCAAAGACTTCACCTTTGGGCTATTTTGAGCAAGGGGGCCGGTTTTTAGGTTCTGGGTTTGGTTTTAGTAATGATATGAAAAGTGTTGAATGGGTTTTGGGTGCTGATTTAAGAACAAATGTATGTCAAGGGAGTGCTTTTGTATATTGTGTATGTGTTTATGATTATCACTGTAGGATCAGCAAGCCAGGAGAAGGAGAACATGTCACTAATGTCAGAAGAGGCCCAAGAGGATTTACTGGCCACTCTAATCAACTCTGGGGAGATAAATCAAGATAAGGTACTAGGTTGCTATACCCTGTTCATGTTCCAGCTTTGTGTGTTTTTGGTTGTCTGATTGAGCTTTGGGTTCATAGGAAGTTGCCATGTTCCATAGATATGTTTCGTAAATGCTGGAGTTTAGGGCCATAAATGCTGGAGTTTAGGACCATATGGTGATGTAGAAAGATGACCATGAATGGTTCCTTTAGTAGCTATCATTTGCTCATATATCAGGATCAAGTATGTGTTTCGATTTTCTGTTTGATGGTCGTTATACTATGAGGTAGACTTCATTTATTAGGTATTCTAAGCTAGCCTTGGGGATTTCTATTTCTTCGATTCTTTTCCAGTTATTTCTCGTTGGTTGATATACTTTTTCTTTTCTTATCGTATAATTGCATATACCCTTTAAGACGATAGTCCTAAAGAATGTGACAGCATTGTGAAATATCCGCGAAAATTTTCTTGAGAGAATATGAAATTTATAGTTGTAGTGTTTCTTGTTTTGTAATGCTTATGTATAAGATTGTGTGATTATGTGTATATATATATGTAATGTATGTATAGGATAAATTTGAATGGAAGTGTGTTGCTGCTGCAGGCTGAGCTAGTATGGCTAAACTGTAGGGTAGAGTTGATAGATGCCATGGCAACAGTTCAAGATCTCGAGTTTTACATCCAAGAGAACAAAGGGAACAATGGAATCGTTTCCAAAGGTACCAGGTCAAGAACCAAAGACGATAAGCAGAAGTTTATAAATTTCTTGCACCCGCCGGTTAAACAAGCCCTCGTGGATTGTTTAAGGAAGAAAAATATGATGTTTCTTGTGTCTGGAAAGGGAAAGGGTTCGAAAGCTTGGTATACAAGGTTTATGGACAGTTTGTTTGCTAGGCACAGTGTGGGTAAACAGTATGAATTGATTCAGCGGTTTGGAGAGTCCCCTTTTCCGTACCACAAAGTGGCATCATCACGCAGTCCATCACATCCGAGGGCTAAAGCGTTTAAATCTGAACCGTCCGATGATCCTGCAGTGCAGCAGCCGTTGAACGTCTTGGGTTCGAGCTTAAAGCCCGGGGCTCGTGAGCTTTCGGATGGAGGCGACCAAGCTAGCCACACTCAGACACTGATTATCGCGGTTACTGTGACTGCTGCAGTAACGAGTATCGTAGTTTCCCTGTTTTTTATATGTTATTTGAAGGTTTTCTACAATGGACCGGGACCGGGACCGGGACCAAACGACGAGAAGCCTCTTTTGACCCTAAGCAGAAATGACTTCTCTGGTAAGAATCAATGGTTTCGTTTTGTTATCGTGGTTTGTCTGTCTTCTGCTTCGCTGAATATTTCCAACTTCGAAATTTCAGCTTCAGCTTCTTCACACAAGGCGCCGCCTTTTGGGAATTCGTTAAGTAACCGAAATCTTGGTAACCGTTCAGTTTCTAAGAACTCGGGTGAAAAAATGGGCGAAAATTTGTCTGTGGAGCCACAGGCTGAAAGTAACTCCACCAAATTAGAAGCTCCTATAGGAAGTATTTCCAGTGTTTCTGCAAACTGTGTAGAGGATTCTGCACAATTGGCGCCCGGTTTAGGCCAGCCTCCCTCGGGTAGGGTAGTTCCCGAGGAACCTCCTCCAGTACTCGATCCTCCTGATGAAGCTGCTGCTCCTTCATCACCACCTCCTCCTCCTCCCGAGGAAGCAGATCCTTCACCGCCACCTCTTCCAGAGGAAGCTGAACCTTTGCCGCCACCTCCTCCCGAGGAAGCTGCACTGCCTCCACTAAAGCTTCCACCTGGTAGGGTAGCTCCTGTACTACCCCCTCCTCCAGCAGTCCCTACTCCTTCGCTATTACCTCCTCCTCCCGGGGAAGGTGCAATGCCTCCGCTAAAGCCTCCCCCGGGTAGGGTAATTCCTGCAGTACCCCCTTCACCACTGCCTGTTGATGATGGCGTTCCTCCACCAGCTCTGCCTTCTCTTGTAATTGGTGGTCCTCCCCCGGCCCCAGGTAATGGCCTGCCTCTCCCACCGCCTCCAGGCAGTGGCCATGGCCCTCCACCATCTCCGGGCAGTGGCCGACAACCACCAACACCTCCAGGCGGTGGTCCATTCCCGCAGTCTGGTGCTGGCCCATCACTGCCGCGAGTCCCCAGTGGCCCAAGACCACCGCCACCTCCCGGTGGTGCTGCTGAACCGTCACTGCTGCAAGCCCCTAATGTTGGCCCGCCACCATCGCCCGGTGGTGCTAGACCGTCACTGCTACGAGCCCCTAATGTTGGCGTGCCACCACCGCCAGCTCCCGGTGGTGGTGGTGGCCCACCACCACCGCCAGCTCCCGGTGGTGGTGGTGGCCCACCACCACCGCCACTGCTGCAAGTCCCAAGTGCTGGCGGACCACCACCTCCACCTGGTTGTGCTGGTTCACCGCGTCCACCTCCACCGGGTATGAAACGGCCTCCATCTGTTGGAGCGGGTGGTCGAGGGGCAGCGCCAACGGGCCCACCTAAAACTAAACTAAAGCCATTCTTCTGGGATAAGGTTCTAGCCAGCCCTGATCATGCAATGGTTTGGCATCAGATAAAAACAGGATCTTTCCAGTAAGTTTTTCTTTTCTCTCTTTTTTCTTTTTAATTAATGAATCAGTGTTTGTATACTAATGCACTTACTCCACAATGTGTTTGATCGAAACAGGTTTAACGAAGAGATGATAGAGACTCTATTTGGTTTTGCTGCTCAAGAAAAAAACAAACAAGAAACCAAGAAAGACGACAAAGCCAAAACAAAAGCACCCCAGTTTATTCAAATTATTGATCAAAAGAAAGCACAAAATATATCAATTCTCCTAAAAGCTTTAAATGTTACAACAGAAGAAGTTTGCGATGCTATTAAAGAAGGTGAGTATGCCTGCCATTCTTTAGGGGCCATTTGATAATGATTTTCTTTTGTTTATGGTTTTGGTTTGAAAACAGTTCCAAGCAAAAACTAAAAATATTATCTTTATTTGCTAGAATGGAATCATATGCTTCCTTAGACATCATTTTCCCTCCGATAGTGAATTTTTAAAGCGTTCTTGATAGTGGAGATTTCAGTACTTTGTTGTTGCATATTTCCGGTGTGAAATGAGTGGCTAACGTTTTATAGTGAACCAGGAAACGAACTTCCACCCGAGCTAATTCAAACTCTGCTGAGGATGGCCCCGACGTCTGATGAAGAGCTGAAGCTGAGGCTCTTTACCGAAGATCTTTCTAAACTAGGGCATGCAGACAGGTTCATGAAAATCATAGTCGACATTCCATTCGCCTTTAAGAGGCTAGAAACACTGCTCTTCATGTGCACACTTCCGGAGGAGGTAGCAGGGGTTAAAGAGTCGTTTAAAACCTTAGAGGTAGATCTCGTCTTTCTAAACTAGTTGGCTTCATTGCTATTCGGATTCTTGAAGTTTTAAGTTTTTGTCCCCATCGTTTTTCTCCAGGATGCTTGCACGGAACTGCAGAATAGCAGGCTGTTTATGAAACTCCTCGAGGCTGTTCTCAAAACTGGGAATCGCATGAACGATGGGACCTACCGAGGTGGAGCACAAGCATTCAAACTCGACACGCTGCTAAAATTATCGGACGTGAAAGGGGTAGATGGCAAGACCACGCTCCTGCACTTTGTCGTTCAAGAGATTGTCCGCAGAGAAGGCATAAGAGCTGTGCGGGCAGCCAAGGAGCTAAGGAGCATGTCGAGCATCAAGTCGGAAGATCTACTCCACGATGTCCCCAATGATTCCGAGGAGAATTTAAGAGACATCGGTCTCCAGGTCGTGTCAGGCCTGACAACCGAGCTCGAGAATGTGAAGAAATGTGCAATTATCGATGCAGATAGCATGCAAATAACAGTTGCCAAGCAAGGCCATGGGCTAATACAAGCCAGGGGAGTCCTAAACTCGTTAATCGACAATGTACCCACAGACGATCCGTTCTACCAGACACTGAAGGCTTTCGTGCATGATGCCGAGGTTGATGTCTCATTTCTGCTCACGGAGGAGAAGCGCATAATGGCACTGGTTAAGAGCACATGCGATTACTTCCATGGGAATAACGCCAAGGATGAAGGTTTAAGGATTTTCGTTGTAGTTCGTGATTTCCTACTTATACTAGAGAAGGTATGCAAAGAGATCAAAGCTGCACAACTGCAGAAGGCAAAAGAGGCTCCCAAAAAGGATTCATGATCTTCTTCATCATCATCTTTCTGCAACTATGAGTTATGAAGGCTTCTTACTCTTCTTAGTTTCATATATAGGTATGCAAATGAGCTTTCAATTCATTATAAAAAAAATTGAGAAAAAAAAATTCAATCTTGATTTAATTTAAAGCTGAGAGAGACATGGAAGAATGTAGTTTTCATTTCCTTCCTCAAATGTATATTCACACAGGCTGAGAAACAGGGTACTAATAACAACAAGAAACAGTAGAACTTAGTTAATACTGACCTAAATTCTATCTACCCAAGGGAGGAAAAGTGCTATTCTGGAACCAAATCAAAACCACATATCAATGCCTGATAGCCACAGGAAGTTTCTTCTCTACATCTAATCTTCATCGGCGGAGGGCTTGGATGAGCCGCCGGCCTTCTTGGGAAGCAGAAGGTTGTGAATGTTAGGCATGACACCGCCATTAGCAATCGTCACATCTCCGAGCAGCTTGCTCAGCTCCTCGTCGTTCCTCACGGCCAATTGGATGTGCCTTGGAACAATCCTCGTCTTCTTGTTGTCCCTCGCTGCATTTCCAGCCAATTCGAGGACCTAATGACCAAAATTAAGCATTATTAATTCAAAATTTGAGGAAATTCGAGGAACCCTAGAAACTGAAATTGGGGGAAATGAAGGAAATTGGACGAGACGAGTTTAATAGACATCGAAATACCTCAGCAGCAAGGTATTCAAGCACAGCGGCGAGATAGACCGGAGCTCCGGCACCAACACGCTCGGCGTACTTCCCGGCCTTGAGGAACCGAGCGATACGACCGACGGGGAACTGGAGACCAGCCTTGCTGCTCCGGGACTGAGCCTTCTTTGCGGCACCGGAGCCGAGAGTCTTTCCACGTCCGGCCATCGCTGCTATCACCGCCGACGAACTGAAACAGAGAAAAACCGAAAGCAGGAAGAAGATTCACAAGTTCGTAGAGAGAACAAATGTGGGCGGTGGTAAGATCGGAGAAGAGGGTAGTTGTTTATATAGGGTTTTGGATTTCAAATTTTGACAAATAGGAGGAGACTACGCGGATCGGCGCTCCTGGCCGTTGATAACGAACGCATCAACGGTGAAGATGAGGATCGACACCCTTCATGTTCTATCATGTGTGCTTTCGAATGATTCAAAATCGTTTTGGGATGACGTAAATTTTCACTTTCCAATTATTTTATTGTCGCCCGATCCCTATTCGTGAAGTGAGTGGATCATGATTCTTGTATTCTTCACATATAATTCTTTTTTAACATGATTTGTCTATTATAAAAAAGTGGAGTATACTTAATATATACTATTAGAAAGTAAATTACAAAATTTTAGTTAACTGAAACAAAATTAAAAATTCTTTTGATGAGAGAATTTGAAATTTGATTCCATAACCTGATAAACAAGTCAAATTAAACTTAATTGAAGAATTTTACCGGCATAAGAAACTTGAATAGAACTTTTTTCACTTAAGGAACTCAATTGCATTATCCACTCGTCTTAGGATGCCAATTTGACACTTTTTCCTTCTTTATCCTATTACTTTGCAATCCTTATACTTCAAACTGATTTTCGGTTCGAATCTCTAAGTCGAAAAACCTATTTCCAACATTTAGTGCAGCAAATCGCCCAAATGGCTAAATTCATAAAATTTACACATCAATTAACATTACAATCAAGTTATTCTAAGCATTACATTCGCTTCAAAATGTGAATTGGCATATCAGATAGATGAGGTAAAGAACAGAAAGAAGAGAAAATCAAGGCAGCCTGCTAAGAAGCAGCAGCAGCAGCTTCAGCTTCTTTTGGTTTCTCCTTTTCTTTCACCACTCTTTTCCAGTTCTCTGCACTGTCAATAATTTCGCCGGTTTTAGTAAGGTACCGAACCCGTTTTCCATTGTCTAGCGTTTTATGACCGACCCTACTCGTTACTTGCTTCTCCTTCGAGTACAGCATCACATTCGAGCTGTGAATCGGTGCTTCAACCTTAAAAATTAAAGCTTTAAACGTCAAATCTTGTAGGAAAGACGATATACCATAGAATTCATTTCCAAGAAAGAATAGAGAAAATCACGAGAAGTAAGAATCCAATTAACAACCTTGATTATCTGACCGGATTCGCCCTGTGTCCTGCTCTTCACGTGCTTAGTCTTCAAGTTAATGTCTTTCACTACGATCTTGCTGTTATGCTTGAGAATCTCGGAAACCTCTCCGATCTTACCTTTGTCGTGCCCCGCTATAACTTTCACCGTATCTCCAAGTTTAACGTGCATCTTCTGTATCACGGGAAGGCTGTTTGGCTTGCACTCTTTGCGCTCCCATCGCTTAAGCTGCTCAAGTAACAATAGGAGCAATGTTCAATTCACCACATATTTTCATCAAGCATGAAACTAATATATAGAATAGAAATACATTATATATACCCTTGCAGCAACGGAGAAAGGCTTCTCGGTCGATTTAACCTGCATAGCATCTCCAAAAAGCTGTTATTACACACACTGTAACAAACAACGTTGGTTGGATATACAACAGAAGTTTCAGCACATAACTATAGAAAGCATTCAAACACTATTCGTTTTCGTTATTGCAAACTACTGATAGGAGCGAAAGGACAACTTTTTACGCAATAAAACGGGGAAATTATCCACTATAACAACTATGGAAAGGAGAAGGCAAGAGCAGCAAATTTAGTTTTTGATGAGAGATCGAGGGTGGAGTCAAGAACAAGCATTTATAAATCTAACATCCAGAGTTTCAACAGCATATCCTATATCTCAAACTAAACTGATCTTAACATCCACAATTGAGCCTTAGCTGATTAAGTGCTTCTAATATTCTCTCATAAAGCATTCCACAATCTGAGTCTTGTATGATAAGTGCTTCTAAGATTCTCTTAAAAGGCCAAACAATTATAATTTCTCTATGGGAACCCAAAATTATAATTTCTATATAAATGGTTGCAACTGAGGCAAATGGAGAGTTTTGAACTAAAGAATGTGACTTTATAAGATAACCCATTGAGCCATGAGCAATCTGTAAGTGAGGAACCCCAATTTGCAGAAACGCTTTTGGGAACGATTCAGCTATACCCTTAGCTTCGGAACTCAAGAATTGAAAGAAAATGGCACTGGAAATCTTGAATGAAGCAGAAATCAGGAACGTCAAGAACTGTGAGCTGAAAGAACAGGGAAATGGAAGATAGTTTGGGGGATAAGAAGAAGAGAGCACTTACCAGAGGTGGGCATAGAGGGGGAGAGAAGCGTTGGCCCATGAAGGAGCTGGAGGAGAGAGAAAGAGACGTGAACGAGCTCTGCAGAGCTGCCATTGCCGCCATTTTTAGGTCCTCAATCCAAAAAAATGGAGTCTTGCGTTTAGCAGTTGAAGATAGATGAGAGCGCAGAAGAGTGCGAGACGAGAAGACGAGGAATGAGATAAAGTTGGGTACCTTATTTTTGTATATGGGTCGGGTTGTTCCGGCCCATCAAAATTCAGGATGTAGTGAAGTACTATCTTTTTAAAAATATATACTCCGTATATGATAAAAAAATATATGTTATCATTATTTAAAGGTGTGTAGTGACAAAATTTGTTAATGTGTCTTCGATGTGATCACCAAGATATATGGATAAGTATATGTAGTCAGATTTGGATCGTACGAGTGTGCTGGTAGGTGAGCTTGAGCATAGTCGGAAATTCGAAAGTTTCCGAATTAATAAGGTTAGGTGAGAATGCTAAAAAGTCACAAAGACCCCCCTATTCGGCATGCCCTTCACATGCCCAACATGTACTGGCCCGGTCGGCGGCCCTTATAATAAGTACACCGCAAATTATGTTGTGCAACCGAATGCACCTTGCAAGGTGCATACGGTTGCAAAACGGCGCCGTTTCGGTTAAAAAAACGCGCGTCCCACTTAAAGAAGAAATCAGGTTCGATTCCCGGCAATAGCATTTTTATATATCCAGAAATTCATAACTATATATCCACAATTTCATAACTATATATCCACAATTTCATAATTATATATCCACAGTGAATGAATGAAGTAAAAATCCACAATGAATGAATGAATGAATGAAGTAAAAATCCACAATGAATGAATGAATGAAGTAAAAATCCACAATGAATGAACTAAATATCCACAATATATGATTGAACTAAATATCCACAATGAATGAACTAAATATCCATAAATTCATAACTATATAACCACAATTTCACAACTATATATCCACAATTTCATAACTATATATCCACAGTGAATGAATGAAGTAAAAATCCACAATGAATGAATGAATGAAGTAAAAATCCACAATGAACGAATGAATGAAGTAAAAATCCACAATAAATGAACTAAATATCCACAATATATGATTGAACTAAATATCCACAATGAATGAACTAAATATCCATAAATTCATAACTATATAACCACAATTTCATAACTATATATCCACAATTTCATAATTATATATCCACAATAATGCTATTGCTGAGAGTCGAACCTGATTTTTTTTTAAAGTGGGACGCACGTTTTTAATCAAAACGACGTCGTTTTGAACCGTATGCACCGTGCGCATGGTACATTCGGTTGCACAGCATAACTATTGTAAGTACACATGGGTGATGATCCATGACGGACTCAATTATTGTCGGATTGGGCGGAGCGTTAAACACGAGGTGAGTTGTTGTCCTCTGTGGGAGAACCAAGTCGTGAAGACAATCATGAATGGGAGTTAAGGTCGGACCTAACTAGAAGTGGCACCGAGCACTGGCATATAAGGACCCATAGGAATCCATTATTCCATGTCGAGTCAGGGTCCAAAGTCTCATACGAAGTCGGTTCGGCTCGGGGAAAGCACCACAAGGCGTACATGTCATGTTTCGAGCTCATATATGGTTATATATTCAGGTCACCAAGTGATATTCCCTATCAAGTAGCCCCATAATCTGATCCCTGAGGGCGATTCGAACGGAGGGGCTCGGACTATATAATCATAGCGGGGGTGTTGTGTGTAGGCCCTCGATGGAACAAAGGTTATGTGTATTGTAGGTCCATCGGGAGACGTGAGATTCACGCTCAGCTCGTGTTACACCAATCGGGCACTCGTCACAATTTTCGCTCACTTAAGGATTCGTTTCGAAAATTTCAAATTTTGCCAACGTTATCATTTATAAATACGACCTTGTTGTGGGCCAAATCCACGCTTTGTTTTGTGCAACCTTGAGAGTTTATCGAGATGAGCACTTTGGCAACCCCCCTGTTTCAACTCATTCAAAGCTTACAAATGTGCTATTCGAAACATAACTCGTACGCCTCGTGGGGCTATTTCTTGAGTTGAGCTGACCCCGTATGATAATCTGGACCCGACTCGACCCGAAGAATGGATTCATAGTGGTCCTTATGGGCCAATGCTCAGTGTCACTTCTAGTCAGGTCCGACCTTAACTCCCATTCATGATTGCCTTCATGACTTGGTTCCCTCGCGAGACGACAATAGCTCACCTCGTGTTTAACGCTCTGCTCAGTCCTACAATAATTAAGTATGTCAATGATCATCACCCACTACGTGCACTTATTATAAGGGTTGCTGACCGGGCCAATGCATGTTGGGCACATGGAGGGCATGCCGAACACCTCGCATGTGTTCCCTTCTAGTCCCTATAAATAGCTCCTTAAATGCCATGAAGATGGGATGAGATCTATAGGACTTTTTGACATTCTCACTTAACCCTTATCAACTAACCTCCGATCTATTGTCCTTTATGCTCGAATTCACCTACAAGCAGACTCGTACAATTGTACGATCTAAATCGAACTACAAATACCTATCTATATATCCTGGTGTATTTATGGTATCAAGTACACTTATCATTTTCATTAATTTAGAAATATTCTACCATGCAAAATGGTTTCTTTAGAAAACGAGGCAAAAATCAAAAGTGTTATTTATCATACGCCCGACACAAAAAATCTTATAACATACTGCATACCTAATTTCTCAAAAATGACTAACATATTCCACAAGTACCAATATTTTGAACTATGATCCTATGATATATTCCATGAAAATTAGGAAAAAAAGAGGAAAACATGAAGAAAAATGCTATCAAACTTCACATGATTCAGCTGTGATATCCATGGATTCCACCCGTTGCAGTCCAAACGTTGGACTCTTATGATCTCCATCCACCATACTGATGCAAACCTCTTCTGGTGTAGCAGGCAAATGCCTAGGATGTTTTTTGCTATGTCTAGATTTGAGTATCCTAGATAGAACCTGCACAATGTCCCTCATCGCAGGCCGTTTCTTGGGAGCGCGGTTCACACATCTGTATGCTAGAGCCGACACACCATTCAGTTCCTGCAAATCGAACTTCCCATTGAGGCGCGGATCCACAATCTCCTCCCACCCGCCTTTCACATCCGCCGTCATGGCAGCCTGCCGGGCGGTTTTCAACACGTAAAGTAGAAGAATGTGAATATATGATGGCTCTGTTATAAAATAAGCTATTATTTTAAACTCTCAGTTTAACCAAATAGAGTTTATAGCTTATTCGTAGTTTAAAATAAACTATAAGTTCTGTCAAACAGAGTCATGATCTGCTTACCAGTTCGACATACTCCATAACACCCTGAAGAGGATGTCTACCCGCCACAAGCTCAAAGAGCAATACCCCGAAACTGTAAACGTCGCTCTTCTTGGTAAAGGTCCTACTTGATATGTACTCGGGATCAAGATACCCAAACGTTCCCCGGATGTTGGAAGCGTGTTTAGTAACCATCTCCTCTCTTGAAAGACCGAAATCAGCAACCTGCTCATAGAAGAATACAGTTCAAGAGCAATTCACAGTTCTTTTCAAGAGGCAAAATAAGCACATCTAAACAAACAAACAATTGCGTACCCTGGCCCTCGTCGACTGGTCTAACAAAATGTTGGATGACTTAATATCCCGGTGTATCACAGGAGGGACTGCCTAAAGAACAAAAACAAGAAGAAAAAGAAATCACGAAGGCTCGTGACTAGGCAGGCCAACGAATTAGATATTGGTAATTGATCATAGCAAAAAGAAGCAAAGCTTACCCCATCGTGGAGATATTCCAATCCCCGGGCTACATCGAGAGCAATTTGAGCCCTCAAATCCCAGCTCAATGGCTCAAGCCTATCATCTTATCTCACAAAAAGAACAAAAAGGGGGAAATGTATGATTAAGAAGGATAAGAAGGTTATGCAGCCAATGAATTAGGAATAAAGTTATTCCCGACTTACCATATAGATGAGAAGCCAAACTGCCCTTACTCATGTAGACATAGATAAGCATATTTTGACCCTTCTCTGCACAGTATCCTAACAAGTTCACTAGGTTCCTATGATGTAACCTTCCAAGTAACACAACCTAAGATAAACATACAATGTTGTTATAATAACATCAAACTGATCAGTGTAAAACACAGCGAATTTTGCTCAACCATTAATGTGATTGGCAGTCAAATTTGTTCTCATTGAAGGGGGAAAGTACCTCGGTTTGGAACTCTTTTTCCCCTTGCTTAGAATCCATGGCAAGAACTTTGACAGCAACAGACTCACCAGTTTCCAGCTGAGCTTTATACACAGGCCCATACGCCCCTTGCCCAATCAATGTCGAAAAATTATAAGTTGCTCTCTGCAGATCCCTGCCCATGTATAGTATCAGGAAACATAGATTGAGAAACTTTAGTTAATGCAATGCAATAAAACAGCAGAACACATTGACAATGATCTTTATACATCAATACTTTTGCAGTAAAAAAGGAAACAATTTTTTTGAATGACGAGGAAAACCCCTGCCACTATTCGAGAGTGTGCATTGGGTAAATCCCGTAACCCTAAAGATCACAAGGAGGTAAACCAACCTAAGTTCTTTTGCATTAAAGATAACAGTTTTTTGGAGTGACAGGAAAATTCCCGTCACTACCGGAGAGTGTGCATTGGGTAAATCCCGTGACTCTGAAGATCACAAGGAGGTAAACTAACCTAAGTTCTTTTGCATTAAAGATAACATTTTTTTTTTTGGAATGATGAAGAAAATTTCGGTAACTACCCGAGAGTGTGCATTGGGTAAATCCTGTGATCCTAAAGACAGTAAACCAGCCTAAATTGCCCATAGCTTGACAAGTTCAAACCAAGAAAGCCTATGATATTTATACATCAATACTTTTGAACAGTAAACAAAACATTAGCGTAACTCAGTTAGTTCTTAGGTGTCAAATTATGGGCAATGACGAAGGATCGAGCCCTGTCAGTCGCAGTGTAAGAGTTTCATAATCTTGTGGGATTGGTAATAACATACTTGTAAGAATACTGAAGAATCCCAGAAGCAGACAGCGCACTTGCCCTCCTAAGACCCCCAAGCCAGAGGGAAGTCCCAGAATCCACAGTTCTCCTCGGAGA